CCTCACCTAACCGAGAAAAGAGACCAGTGCACGATAAATGGAAACAAAATAAAGGAAAAATCAGGCGCCTCCTTGGAAAAACATATGGAAACTGGAAAGAAAAGAATGTGCCCAATCGTCAACCAGGGCCACCATGTAGATCTGCATTCTGTAGCAAAGTCAAAATTCGCCAGTGTAACGTTGTAGATGAAGATCAAAGACTTGCTATGTTCATTAAATTTTGGTCTATGACGACTTGGAATGAACGCAAAATATTCATAAATACTCTGGTTGGGACACATGAGGTTAAACAACAAAAATCATCCGGTGTATCTAGGAGAAAATCTTCATATGTTTACAAACTAAAGCTTTCGAATGGTTCTGAGGTGCCAGTCTGCAAAGAAATGTTTGCTTCCACGTTTGGTATGCCTTGCAGAACTTTGGTATCTTGGATTAAAGATAAAACCTCTTCTAACCAAACAGCTGTTGTTCAAGCAGGTCCGAAAAGTGGAAAGTGTGCAAAAGTAAGTGAAAGGGATAGAGAGTTTATAAAAGAGTGGCTCAGCACACTACCAACTGTAGACTCCCATTATTGCAGAAAATTGCCAAGTTACAGAAACATAAAATTTTTGTATCCAGGCACCACAATATCTGCCCTCCACAGACATTACCAAAATGTTGCAGAGGGAGAAAACAGGAGGGTCGTTAGTGAAGCTTATTTCAACGAGATTTTCCACAGATATAAATACTCAGTTTTCATTCCCCGAAAGGATCAGTGTGATAAGTGTGTAGGTTACAAACATGGTAACATGAGTACAGTTGAGTATAGCTTGCATATCAAACTGAAGGATGATGCTAGAAAAGAAATAATAACCGACAAAGATTCTGCAAGTGCAAATAAATCCGTTTGGACGGGTCTACAGGCCGTGCTTTTACGTCCTAGAACGAGAGCTAGTACCTCATATTACAGAACTAAGCTACAGGTACACAATTTCACTTTATATGATACGAAATCAAAAGCAGGTTACTGCTACGTCTGGAATGAAACTGAAGGCAATCTTTCTAGTGAAGTATTTGCTTACTTGCAGTTTGAGCATTTTAAGCGAATCATTTGTAATAATCTCGAGCTGAAGCATATCATAGTTTGGAGCGATGGATGTGGTTACCAAAATAGGAATAGCACGGTAGCCAATGCATATTCTAGTCTGGCAAGAACTTACAACATAGATATAGAGCAAAAATTTTTGGTGGCTGGACATACACAAATGGAATGTGACTCGATGCACAGCGTCATTGAACGAAAGATCGTAGACGACATTTTTTCTGAAAGAGATTTGATCGTACTTATGGAATCCGCAAGAATCCATCCATCACCCTATCATGTTATCGCCAAATGAGGCACACTGATTTCAAAAGAATGAATCAATTGTTCCTTCAAAGCATTAGGCCCGGAAAAAGAGTAGGAGATCCCAGAGTGCATGATTTGCGTGCCCTGAAGTACGAAAGTGATGGTAGTATTCGTTACAAGCTTTCGTTTGAGAAAGCAATTTGGAAAGCGCTAACACACCGTGTACAGAATGTTCAAAGTCAATGGGTGCCAATGTTCAGATCTCGTATTCCAGTTTGTGCAAGGAAATTTAATGATCTTCAAGAAATGAAATCAATTATGCCAATTGACTGTCATCCTTTTTATGACAACCTTCCTCACGAGTAGATTATACAAACTTAAATGAAGTATACTACTATAAATTCATGATTACAGTTGTTTGTTTATGTTGATGTTTTAAGTTCAAAAGAGTTATTTATGTTTTGATTCTATTATATTGTTTGTTGCTTGAGTTGTGAAATTTTACATTCCTTGTATCAATTGAATACAATACATCTGGCCTGTGGGCTGACATCTATTCTAATGTTTTTCAAAGCCAAATTATGATTAAGGAGGAATATCGAATTTTGACTTGGCTTTCGTGTCATATTAATTTAATGGAAGTCACTCTCTCATTATTTGCCGAATGGACGTTTACAAAGTATATAGGTCAAGCGAATGTACAGAGAAAATATAGGGCGAAGATGTGAATAATATTGCCTAACTCAGGGTGCGGGAATAAAAAAATGCCTAAGTCAATTTTAGCACATATAAAATAGAATTTGGAAGTTATAGATATCCTAAAATAATTAAAAATTTGATAAGATAAATCTAGATAAAAAAAATTTTGAAATAAATTGAAAAATGGGAAAGTTATGAAGTTTTTTTTGATTTTCTCAAAATGTTAAAATTTGACTTAGGCAATTTTTTTATTAGTCTGACGATATGAAAGAATTCGGGACTAATGATGCCATGGATAAAACTACTAACCAGTGAGTCCGGTGATGTAGCTGTACATCACATCCAACTTGTTTTGTAACGTTAGTATTTGTAGCTGGAAAAGTGATGGAGTTATTGGTGCTTAGAGTAAATAAATCGACTTTAAATAACAATTATAAGATATTAAAAGTTTGATGAAAATTTTTCACGAGTTCAGGCAAAAGAACAATTGTTTCAACTTATGGTGTCTTACAGGATAACAAACTAACCTGGAATTCAGAATAGACGAAGAAAGCAGACCAGAAAATTAGTGGTGAGTCAATATTTAACAATGAGTTGTACCCAAATATTATTCAAGAACAATGGGTTACCGTATGAACAACATTTTTACCCGACGTATATTAGAAATTGTACCAAATATAGTTATCAAATGTACATTCGGAATATTAGCACCATATGTGAATGAAATACCATATTCTAGCATGTGCAGTTTATTTAACAAACTATTATTTTTCACTTTTACGTCTTTTGCCGCAATAATTGCCGACAAAGCAATCCATTGCTGCTTGGTTCCACACTGACAATCATTGCCTGTTTGAAAAAATTACGATAAACATTGCAATAGTGATTAAAGTACAACAAAGGGGCACTATCGGATTGTTTTCTCCGAGTGTTGAATAACTGTAAAAGATGATATATATTACTGTGGATTGTGCTGTACAGAAATGCCTGCAGTGAATATTGACAATTATTACTTCTCGTTATTATTACTTTATACTTAGATTTTGAATAAAAAAACCTTCAATATGGCTATTTGCAAATCATGGCCAGATATTAAATGTCCACTTAAACCTATTGGGAAGTGTAAAGTAACGTAAGTTTAAACGGGACGTAACAACAGAATACAACAGAGTTCATACGTGATCAATCTAAAAACTAGCGGCTTCAATTATATTATCGGATTGTTATTTTTTGGTATAAAGGGTATTTAGGTATTAAAGATATGCCTTTACCAGTTTCTGCGTAAAACTGCGCACCCCTAACGAGCAATACAACTGCAATTTTCTTTTCGTAGCTTATTACTTCACTATCAATTTTAATGTATACAACAAAACCTAAACAATGTCTGTAAGCCAGAGGACAACAAAAATTTAAGATAGAAAAATATGTTCTCCACAATACCGTATAAACAGACACTAGAAATTGCTGAAAATTATTGGTCGTCAAATATGATGTTGGCGACATAGCTAGAATTTATTTCTGAGCCCATACGAACGTAGCACGACTCGAAAGAAATAAATGCAAATCTTCTTGTTTATTGCCCTTCTATCACAAACAGCAGTTGTTTTGCTGTATTGCTCCATTGTACGTGAGTGAAATACTTGACTTCCGTCATGTATTTTTATTTTTTTAAGTCACGTGTAGATAAAGATCCAGGAGAATATAATATATATATATATAATATATTATATTGCATAATCGAATGGTACAAGACCTGAAGGGAAAGTGTACAACATGGAACAATATCTTTCCTAGATGGACGATATTTTGGAATCTAGAATCTAGATTGTCGTTCTTAAAAGTTTACAAATGATAACCTTCACCTGTCGAAAGACTCGTAAAGCAGAGAAAAGTGATTAAATACAGCTAATGGGGAGTGAATTCGGGATATTATTCCGATTTTTATCTTTTGCGCCGGCTAAGATCTTTCTCCCACCGTTTGTGAATTACCTGTCCCAATTTTAAGCTAACAATATTATCATTTCTGACGCCGGAATGCGAAGACGATAGTTGACTTTCTTGTAATTTTACTTTTCTATTGTGCCTGTTTTATTTTCGTAATAAATAATGAATAAAAACGCGGCAAAGTCATTGCGCGAATCAAGAATGTTATTTTGAGTTCAAATAAAGATTCAATAAATCGGAAATAATGGCAATTCTACTAATTAAATAATAATTCCTTGGTGAAATTTGGAAAAAATTTCGCACAATAATTCGTTACCTTGTTTGACATTTTCAATTTACGAAACGGTGTTGGGGCGCTTTATGCAAAACTTATAATTGAAACAATACCCAAATGCGACTTCTCAAATTTGTCGTTTCTATTTGCCAGCAAAAGCCATGGGTAATTCTCGCGGAATTCAAAGGATTGGAAATTGGAATCACTTGACATGAATTCAAAAATTAAATCTCTTCGCGGCACACCAAAATCATTTCGCGGCAAATGGCACAGTGGTTGGGAACCCCTGGTCTAGAACAAGAAAGGGTTCGCGCAAACCACTGAAAACATTCTTTTTTCATCAACTAACAGATCAGCTGTTTTCAAATTTTCAGCAGCCAATAATGAGTCTGCTCTAAGTCGCTTGCTTTAACTTCACGATTCGTCTGGACTTCCTGGAAAAGTTGTTTTACCCAATTAGTGCTGTTATTAAAAAGTTGTACCAATGCATATGTGCCACCTATTTTTCACTATGCGAGAGCTGAACAAACCTGGCATGACAGTACCGATCAGGAATGTAAAGTCGTGTAAATTGATATTCGACTCCGATTTTAACTTCGAATCCTGTGTTGTAAAAAATTTCTACCCAAAATCTAGAGAGTTTGAAAATGCGCCACAGTCCTGATACCGATACCACAACGTTGTCAATACATTTGAGCATTCCTCAATTGTTAATTTTCCCCTTCTTTCCATTTGCGACTTCAATCATGAATGAAATGATTTGTACAGAAATTAGAAATTTATTTCGTGCAAAGTACTGCTATAAAATATCATAAATTTACAGTAGATTTGCAGGTAAAGACGGTAATATTTAGTAAATTTCATTACTTGGTTTGATTCAATAATATTTTCACTATTAATTATTTTTACTACGAAATAATATCAGACGAAAAATGGGCGACCCTACATGAGCATATACAAAACACATAAAACATTAAATAATGGTACATAGGTCTTACGGTTATTCTTTACTGAAGAAATTTTACCCGAAATCAAGCCTAGTACCGTACTGGTTTTGCCCGAAAAAATCAAAGCAGAGGTCAAAATGAAATGCAAAAATAGAGTGCACAGTGGTAAAATTGAATAGGAAGTTAAATTCTTGAATGTGTCTTAAAACAAATTTCTCGCAAGGAACATGATGAGCGATAGAAAAAATTGACGATTAGGAAAGAATAAAAAACAAAACACAGTTGATTTTCACACTAATACATAGTCATATACTGATGATGAATAGAATATAGTGATCTATTGTCAACATTTTTCACAACTGTTTCATCTATTATATGTAGAGGTACTACAACAATCCAAACAGGGCCAATGAAAATTATTTTTCACTTTTCACTATTTTCATGGGAGATTGCCATCAAAATTGATATATGCTTGTTTCAGAAGAGAGTGGGACATTTCTCAAACTTGCGCCAAATTCTGATGAATGAATGTGAAAATTGGGATACACAGAATTGTATGGCCATGAAATGGTGGAGATTGTATACCCTGCCTTCAAGTAAACGTTATAAATGGTACAAATAAAATAATGGCTTTGCTGAACTAAAAGTCACAGATATTATATGACATATGTAGTGCATATTGTAATGATTTTCTTCAGCTTAAATTTCTAAAGATATTAATTTGCAAAAAAAATAAGCTTATTTGTGTCAAGATTTTGGAGGAAAATATTTATTTCATTGTCCAAAATCTACTGTAAATATTTAATATAGAGTTGTGCAGAGATAAAAGTATTTGATAATCGAAATTTGAAGAAGGTCTGTCATCTGTTTGATCTCAAGTACCATGATCAATATTTTTTGCAATATGGGATAATTTGTATGAGGAGTTTGAAGATGTTGAAATCCAAATTTGAATCCCACAGAAGAAAAGTTACTTTCATTACTGCAGTCTTAAACTTGAAATATACCGAAGTTTGAATTCAGTCAAGTTATATAATAGTGAACCATTGATAGATCCAATTGCATTGCTAAGCTGCTTGTAAAATGAAAGGTCTCAACCGAAGAAATTCCAGTTAGAACCTCTGCCCATGTTAAAGATTTGAACTTCGTTCTAAATGACCTCGCAGAGCTGATTGAAGATAAACAACATCCTTGTCGGTAGTATCTGCAAGAGAGACAAAAAATAAGTTCATGAATTGAGGATTTTTACAATAATGAAAAATTTTTGTGGTAAGACATTTATTTGTTATAACAAACAAAGATGTAAAAATAATAAATTCAATTATTTCGAAAACACGAAACTGGGAAAATCAATGTAGAATTCACATTTACTGGATAAAGAAATAATATTAATTTTTATTTTGAACTGGTAAAAATCTAGCACAATCCAAGTAGTTGTTGTACACCAGAAATTAAGGAACACAGATCTGAGGCTGGATAATAAAAAAAAAGTCCCAGTGAACTCCTCATAAAGTTGTGGAAGCTTGCTAAAAAGATTGTGAAATGCATAATTTAAAAAAAAACATTTTTAAAACCTAATTGAAGTTTCACAAATAATCACACAATCAAACCATTGTTCATTATTCTGTCATTTCCAGCATTTACAGAACTCAAATTGAATACACATAGACTTCTTTATGTCATTTGTTGAAATAATTCAACTTGAAATACATCCGATATTCCATAATCAAAATTATTATTTCAAAATGCATCTCCAATAACAGATAGATTATTCAGTTTTGGACAACCTTAATAAATACTAATACAAACCTGATGCATAAGAACTTGTACTAATATTATCTTCTGAAATTTTTCGTGACCGACCAGACTTTAATTGATCTTGGCGAGACAAATGTCCACGCAATGCAGATTGCAAAACTACAATTTCATCATCTGTATCCTTTAATCGTTTTCTGTCCTGTTGAAAGAAAATATCGAAAATTCCTCAGATATTTAATTGGAATTCTGATGGCATTTAGGAAAATCAAGTTTTTGATTGTCAGTTTTTTTTTTTCAAATGAAGTCGAAGCTACCAATGGTATGTTGAAAAGATATTTTTCAATAAAGAATTTTTTGGGCATTTATAATATAGCATGCATGAACAACATATTTCCAAATATTCTTTATCATTGTAAAGGATAGGTTATTTTTAATAGCCAAAAAAAAGAGTTTTATCAAAACTTCATCACACAAAATAAGTCAAAAAAATGAATTTATATACCAAGATAATATTTTTGCTAAGCATGTTTTCTCATGTAAAATTAATCCTTGGTGAATTAAATTAAAAAAGAGTTAACCAAAAAAAATTATTTGGGTATGTAATTTTTTTAGAATACTTGAAAATAACTCTAACTCACCCTATGTTCTCTCCATTGCCTTTGTATTGAGGAAGCTGCTTTATTTTTATCTGCTACTCTGGACATTCTTCGTGGTTTCTCAGTTGCATATTTAGTTCTGTTATCCATACTTTGTCTATGACCATCTCTTGACTCTGAGGAACGCCTACGTCGCAAATTTAAATATATATTATTTACAGTGAGTATAGACTTCTATTAACGAGAAAATTATAAAAACAGCAAAATTTTGAGTGAATATTCGGCCCCAACAAATATTTAAAGAAAATACAACAGTAATACTTTTTTTAAAGACTTCAATCTCTAAATAATAAAAACTTGACATCAATTGCGGAAAAAATCAAAACTCTAACACAGTGATTCTCAAACTTTTCAAACTGCGCCCCCTTTTTCGAATTCGTCAAGTCTCGCGCCCCAACTCAAAAAATAACTAGCTAACAATAAGTTACAAATAACATATAGTAAGGCGAAAGTATGTAACAAATGTTTTTATTTTCACTTCGCTTCACACCCTATCAAAAAATTGTCTACGCTCCCCGGGTGGGGCGCCACACCGTTTGAGAACCACTGCTCTAACAAGTACAAAACATTTTTTGGCAAAATGATCTATAAGTACACTTCGGTTCCAATAATGCTAGTGTTTAAAAAATGTAGCACCAATGTTTATGGTTCTGATTCAAACAAATAAGAAACGTTATTCAGCATTTTAAAGTTTTATTCGCACAAAAATATATATATATGATATAACATACCTTCGTTCTCGTGGATTTTCAATTCTGTCTTTTAATGCTTCAATTTCACGTCTCAACTCGGTCACTTTCTGTGTTTGTTTGTCAAGCTCATTTTCGAAGCTTCTATTCTGTTCCCTAAATTGGAATATAATTATAAATGATTTGAAAAAAAATTTTAAAATTGTTTTAGGTAGGTAGGGGGCACTCAGATTGGTATACTTTAAATCAAGTTACAATATACATACTTTAGAGTTTTATTCTCTTCACGAAATTCATATTTTTCTTCTTTCAAAGTCGATATTATGTTTTTCAACTTTTCAATCTGATCTTGATTTCTAGCATGTTCAGCTGTAATGAAATGGCTCATTAATTACCATCTAAAACCTTTTTTTGAAGAAATTTTGCTCGATACAAGGACATGGGAACTTGCTCAGAAATTAAAGAGGACGATTCGTGAGCGAAGCCATGGGCTACCACTCAAATTAGCGTGAAATTGCATGTTAGTAAATACCTATCGCTAACAGCTATGATATATAGAGTGAATTCCACATAACTTGATTCTTAAAAAAAATTTGGCCTTGGAATTTGTTTCTGACAATTACACCGACTGTAAACGGATGAGAGTTCACAGCCAACAGAGCTGGACGGCTGAAAACTTTTATAGAGGGACAAGTTCCAAAATTTCGAAGAACATAACAGCGATAATTTCTATCTTTGTTAGTATATTTCAAAGAATGATGTGATTTATTATTCTTAATTATTTCACAATGCAGAACATCTCAGGATATAATTGCGTCGACATCTGATTCAACAAATTAAGCACTGAGAATTAGCAGTTACAAGAAAAATTCAAGGATAGAACATCATATATATAATAACAATCAACCTGCAAATGGCAAGCAAACTTCTGACATAGACCCATCACCCAAGGGTTTCAAACCTGGTTTTCATTCAAACATGAGTCGTCCGGTTTAAAATAGCCAGTTGGTGATCATGCAAAGTCGACTGATAGTGAAGTAAAAAAATTACCTTTTTCCTTATCCAATTGTTGTTGTTTTGATTTCTTTACTAAATTAACAAGTTCAACTTTGCTGAGTGCACTGTATTCTAGAAATAAAAGCAATCGGGTTTAGTTAATATTTCACTATTCTGAAAACATTTTAAAAAAACTATTTGCGACAAAAGTGGAATATAGAATATATTCTAATTTGGGACATGTTTAGGTCAAAAGTCAATAGTGAGAATCCATTATTTTGTCTGTTTTTATAACCATTTGAAAATCCTGCGTTTTTGATCTTCCTACCTGGCATCAAATTCGGATATCGAATGCTAAAATATTCCTCAAATCAAGATTTAATATAATTTGGATTCATTAAATTCTGATTGCAGCCAAGTATTTATTTTGGCCAATTCTGAAGCCAATATTAATCTAAACCAGTGGTTCTCAAACTTTTCAAGGCACGCCCCCTTTTAAGAATTTGTCAAATCTCGCGCCCCCCTTATAACTAGCTAACAATAAGATACAAATGGCATGTATTAGGGCGAAAGTATGTATTATTCAAAAAACATATGTGGATGGACTTAAAATATCCAAAATAGGGTTGGCAAAGTAAAATCTGACAAATATTTTTAATTAGCTCACACCCCTCCAAAAAATTGTCTACGCCCGCCCCTCTTGCTGGGCGCGCTCCACTTATTGAGGGGCCCTGATCTAAACTATTATGACATTAAATTGATTACTAAGAACATACTTATAGGTGCATCATCATCATCTTCACTTGATGCATCAAAGCCACCGATTGCTTTGTCTAAATCTCTTCTTAATCTATTGTTATCTTCGACGAGTTGATGATTTTCAGCAGTAAGTTGAAACAACGTTTTTTCTCAAAGGATTTTTATTTTGGTCGGAACGGCTTTCACGCTCAGAATTCAATGATGAATTCAGTCTGAAAATTTGAAATGAAAGATTGCAGAAATTGGTTTACATTCATTCTAAATAAACTGAAAAGAATATCAGACTCGGTAGAATATTATACCTTATACTGAATTTTCACTCATCTTTCTTTACAATTTTTATTCAACGGAAAACAATGACACAATAAATATTCTAATTTTTATTGTGTCATTCGAATTTGGGTGCAGTTCCACAAAACAGAACCCAGGTCATTTGGACCTATTCGAGCAAGAACATAACTTTTGTGTAAAGCGTTACAGATTACCGAGACTTTTAATAATACAATCACACACAAACAGAAGTTCAAGTGTGAAATTGAGGTATCGAAATTGAGAAATTTTTGAGTTTCGCTTATTTTAGTCACCCTGTTTTTATATTGTAGTTGAGTTACAAATGAAAATTAACATATTATAGTGATTCTCTAAAGTGTGGATTGCAATGTTAGACCCACATAAAGTGGAAATTGAAAAAAAAACATCAAGTCAATAATGAAATAGCAGAAAAATTTTGTTCACCTTTCAGACCTCATTTCTTGTGATGAAATAACATCTCGGAGTCTCAATACCTAAAAATAAATAAGAAACATATATTGATTGATGTAACAAATGGAAAACTTGCCTTAACAATAAAATACAAGAGAGCTGATAATGAGCTATATAAGCTTATTGATACGTTGTAAAAGTAAGAATACACATTTGCTCAATGGCAGCGTACTAGTAGGTAGTATATATGCTCTAAGCCAGGGGAACCCCCAGGGGTTCACGAGAAGATTTCCAAGGATACTTGGATGGCAGTCAAGTTTTTGTGTGGTGATCATTTTTAATATCCTTTATTACTACCATAGGAAAATGCATGCCAATTGAAACTAGATGCCAATTGAAACGTAGATTTTCCCCGATGTTGCGTTTTTGTGATTGTGGCGCAACAATGTGAAATACAAGGTTTTGCATGCAAACTGTGAAATCTCTAAAGACAGCGTGCTGCGAGCATTGGAGAAGTGATTATGCTTATTGAAACTTGCGACATATTTTATAAATTCATTAGTTAGGCAAACGACAAGGGCAATACTATCAACAAGACGATTTAATTTAGTTACATAAAGTCAAGCAACAAATTGTTAGTCAATATATCACAACTTTGTTCGGTGTCTGATTTCCGGCAGTTCGCATTGATTGTTTCGTGACTCGGGGGTACTTGACAAAAAAAGTTGAAACCCCTGCTCTAAGCCAACAAAAGCATGACCTCAAGAAACCCTAGTGAGAACTAACAAAATGTCCCATTTTCATGTTTAATCTTTATTATCTCCAATTGGTCCCAAAGATTTCAAAAACATAACCTGAGAATATAACTACCTTCTAGAAAATGAACTCAAACCTCTTGGTAGTAAATTTCCATAGCAGTTTTCATTTCCCTGATATCTGTTGTTTTTATATCATTTTTGATCACACTCAATTCATTTTCTTTGTCTCGTAATTGCTTTTCTAATTTCAAATTACGTTGTTTTAAACCTGTGACAACAGAACCACCTGATTTTGAATTTCCTTCTGCCAACATTCTGATGCTTTCATCATTCTGAAAAAGGTAAATACATGTTATTAAATACAAGATATCCAAATATGGAGTATTGCAGTGCAAGTCCTTTCTCCTTATGTACTACTAATCTCAGGTCCATATGAAGCTATTACTACACTGATACACCAATGAGATAGTATTAGAGTAATAAAAAAAATAGCATAGTCTGCTACAATAAAATAGCAAGTCTGTTTGCGAACGTTCATTATATCATAGAACTTCTTCGGCAAAACAAGATATAACTTTATCAAACACTGAATAATTAATTATCATTAAGTCATTTATTTAAGTTATGTCTTGTTTTGTCTGAAGAAGTCAAACTCTAATATGATGAAAGCTTACAAATAAACTTGCTATTTTGTTGAAAGAAATTTTTAAGCAAAAGTATTTTTATAGGAAAGAAAAAGAAAATCATTAGTTAAGATATTTCAGGTAATCTGTATTTACTTCAGCTTGTGGCATCCCTGATTATAATTTACAATACTAAAGCCATTATTTCCAAATCCAATCTTACACCAATCCCATTAAAATCTTATATTACAAATCAAATACTAAACAAATATGTCAGACAAATATAAATTTTCAATTTATACCTATTTGACAGTTTATGTGAAGAATGGAGTTTTAATTAGGAAGAATAATTGGCAAAACAAGCTTACTGAACCTAAAAGAAAAATGCATGATTGAGCACAGCAAAGTTGGGTTAGGAACTTGAATAAAGCATGAAAAAAAATCCTACATATTATGTTGAACATCTATATCACCAAAAATTGTCGTATAAACAAGTAAACTTACATTTTTAGGGTCTAATAATTTTTCAATATATTTATCTTTTCTTGTATTATCTTCTTCTAATCTTCTTGTCTTTGCTTTTAGAACATCATATTCATTCTTCATTACAACCATAGTCTAGAAAAGAAATTTTGATACAGAAATGTGGCAGAGATGCTCAGAGAAAATAAATTATTACCTAGTCCAGCGGTTCCCAAGGGCCGCACACTAGTGCTGCACAGCAAGTTGCTGTGCGCCTCGAATTGTGTAAAACATACCTAACGCACGATGAATAATTTACATATTGTATTTAATATGAATGTTTCATTGTTTATTTTAAATGCGGTGTATAAATTCATTTTAACTTTCTATGTCGTTCACTTTTTGTTACATAGTGTCTGCATTTATTGTTACGTAACAATAGAGAAAGACACTACTTGTTGCAATTTCGCGACCTAGGGTTTCCTTTAACTGCTAAACCGAAATTAGCAAACATGAGTGATTTTTTTTAGTATTTCAAAGGAAAATCAGGCAGAGATGAGGATGAAGGGTTCGTGTAATAGCGCTGTGAGTTTTTTCCCTGATAATTTGGTGCCGCTCGAATAAAAAGGTTGGGAACAGCAGACCTAGTCCAAATTCATTCTTGATATATCGGTATCTATTCTCTAGTAATAGTTTTATATAGTAGAGTATACATATTCATGAACATTTACACTTACAGTTTGGCAGCATACATCACAGTGAAATAAATCTGTTATACTTATGAACGTTACAATTGGCATTGGAGTTAAAAAAAATTGATTTTTGATTTTCACCTTTTTCAAGCTTATTATTTCATCATACATATCTTCGGGAGATTTATACATTGGGCGTGGCGATCCATTATGACCTAAAAAGAAGACAGCAAATTGTGAGCTTAAATATAATTTATATTTATATAAGATAATATTTCGCTGTTTATCATAGAAAATAGGAAAGCTTATAAGTCAGCTTAATCAAATGATGAACCATGGTCTCTAATTTGGTTACCAGTCCATGTAAAGTATGGAAATGGTTAACCAGTTATTTGACAGAGATGTATCGACTTCATAGTGGAGAAAACCATGACTGCTTAGTGGTTACATGAACCACCCTACGCAAGTGAAGAGTCTAGCAATCTTTTCACACATAAATTTGACAAACTAGATTCGAACCTGAGAATCCACACACAATAATTGGCAGTGAAAAGGAAAGTGTATTCCTAATGCTCAGCATGATGTACCAATCATCGAGCCTAACACCATACAAACATTCAAAAATTATGATTCTTTGAAATTCCAGGATAAGAGGTTATTGGCAATTTCTATCAATTTTTATAAAATCAATATCATTCTAATGTATACTAGTCACTCAAACATGTTTCTTTGCTTCTGAATGAACATTGTTGTAAGCAAACTTTTCAACTTTTCAATACTTTGCTTATTTTATGAAATATCAAATCTTTACTCAAATCAACACTGCTGCTCCTTCTGTGTTTTCTGGCAGTATCAGGCAATCCCAGTTGGTCCCGTAAATAATCTGATGTACTTGATAATGATGTATTAAGATTTCCGCGGACATTGTGATCTCCTTTTATTGGCGTTCGCTTTCCATCTATGTGAAAGAGGTAATTCAACATTAGAACAGTGCAGGAATGATAAGGTGGTATATAGTTATTCCATGTTTCGAATCATATGAATATTCCTCCCAGCCCTACTTGGGGATGGGGGAGGATCTTCATATGATCATTTTGGGGAGGATCCGGGATTAGTGTAGTTTTGTACCTCAAGTCCTTCTAGTGGGTGTAGCATAACAATTTTCGCATAAGTCAATCCTAAGCCCCATCTCACTGCGTCATCCAAAAATTTTGTCAAAGCTACAACGTCACAATGACGTAATAAAACCCTTCAAACTATACTAACTATTATTTAAGACGCGCAGACGATCACCCGAGATCGAGCAATCTATTTCTCTTGTTTTCTCGTCGCAAAAATCCCGATATGAGAAAGATCGCTGTTGTTAGTGAGTTATCTATCGTTGGAGCAGATGCTGTTTCTGGGGGTTCGTAGGTATACTTTGGCAAGCTTTATGACGTCTTTGTGACGTAATTTATGGATGGCGTAGTCAGGTGGGAGTTAGGATTGACATGTGCAAAAATCGTTATGCTACACCAACTAGAAGTACCGTACTTGAGGTACGAGACCCGAGGATCCCATGTTTCATTCAGATTGAATCGATTAAACACATAACAGCGTCAAAGTATGTTTATAACAATAATCCAGTAATATTTGTCAGGTTACTTGGAACAGTAAAATTCAGAAATAAATACAGAAATACGGTTTAGTTTGGCAAATCGCTGAATCAATTACCGGTACAACGCAGCAATAAGAGAGCATCAATATCTGAATATACAGATATAATGTGCGCAATGTGAACTACTGACTGAATAGGATACCGGTATCATATTCATCAGCAACAATCAACAACAGCTTACTGGTACCTGTACCCTGTCGCAGTGATCGTAGCCATTTCTCCCTGGAACCCTCTGCAATTTCATTCCTCGCGCTTGCCTGTCCAGTGCCGCTTAAAGGTCGCCATACTCTCTGCTGAGTCCTGGGAGATTGTGAAACGCTGTATGGCGAAGGCGGTCGCTTCGTTCTCGGGGAATATTTTGACGGCATTTCTAAGCAGAAAATAATATAGCCTGCCTTTTGCAGTCCAAAAATTAGGTTAAATTTGCAGTTTAACTGAGCAATGCGCCACTATTTGCCGTTACTACGACATTGGCTGTGGATGGTAACGTTGTTTGTTTACATTGTAATGATAGATTACACGAGTGGGCGCGCTGACAATTCAAAATTCAGTTATGACGTTCACGAGTTGGCGTAATGGGTCCGCGAAAGGGGTTTTACTATTTACTGAATAGAGCGCGAAGAGCGCAGAACAGCTCGAAACAGCGCAGAAGAGAGGGAAACACACAGAACAGCGCAAAAAAACGCAGAAAAGAGGTAAACATTTTTCTTTCGTTATTTATTAGCGTCCGTGAAATTTTAAACAATTTGATGTCAAACAGTATACAGTGATAGGGAATGATCACTAGTTTATATCAGTAATCTTCAACATCTTTAAATAACCCAACGTTACGCAACCTAACCTGGTACACATACTGTGTTCAGGTTGTGCGCCATATTGGTGCACATATTTCTGGAGCTCCGGAATTCTTTTGATTTTGCTCATTGGTGTGCTCATATTGTGTCATGTTAGGTTATTTAAAGATGTTAAAGATTACTGATATAAATTCGTAATCATTACCTAATACTGTATACTGTTCCCATAAACTTGTTTAAAATTTCACTGACGCTAATAAATAATGAAAGAAAAATGTTTCCCTCTCCTCTGCGCTGTTTCGCGTTCTTCTGCGCTGTTTCCCTCTCTTCTGCGCTCTTCTGCTCTTCTGCGCTCTATTCAGTAAGTAGTAAGACCGCCGCGGAAAGATGTCAAAATTTTGCAAAGGTTACAAACCCGCTCACGAATAGCGCTTTAATGAAAGGGTACATAAACTTACGATTTAAATCACTATCATTGAATTCATAAATATGAGAATTTCAACCAGCGTTCCAATACAGTCCAGGGGTTCAGTAAGGTTGCATTCAAATCCGAGGGTCTATAATGTCTATTGTTTGAACATATTCAAATGCCTATAAGGTTTTCCACTATTATTATACTTCCAACTATTAAAAGATCATTTTTGCCCGTATTAGGCTTGCTTTTATATATAAATGAGTAATTTAGTTCTATTTTATTATTCAAATGATGGTTTTTGCATAAGAGAATTCACAGGGGTTTCTCGAACCTCTGTAATATTTTTAATGGGGTTCCGCTCCACCAAAAAGGTTGCAAACCACTGCATTAGATGGATATCTCCTTTTAGACATCCCATATGAAACAACCCGTGTTACTGTTATTGGACACAAAGTGTATCATTTTCAGTATGAATAATTCTCCTGGATTATTGTTGTTTGTCTTTGTTTGCTGAGGTTGGTGGTATTGTTGTGAGGCAAGAATGTTCTCTATAGCCAATTGATCAATCGATTTTAAATTTTCAGTTCCGTTAAAGATGCCATAATAATACTATTCCCTTACCTTCAAATTTCCCTGATTCTTATGGCACCCGATATTCCACCAAAAAAATGTTGTTTTATCTTAATTAAAACGGACGTCAGTGTAAATCGCATGAGATACCGTATTAGTGTGGTTAGTCATTGACAATTATTTTCCCTATATTTGAGAATAGCTCTCTTATTTGTTTGTATATTTATTTATTTAAATCTGTCAGTACGTCAACGCATTTTTTTCCTATGTTTATAGTATGGCTCTGCGGTTTTACCACAGTTCATTCATTACTTCACTTATTTGATAGGTATGAAACACCCAGTTGACAGTTGTGAAATTAATGTTGTTTTGCAGTGTTGTGTTTACAATTATGGGCCAAATATGCGACTCATTTCAGTAAAAAGTATTTTATGTTATGAAACTTTCTCTTCGTTGCTAAATATATCTGACAAACAAAATTAATAGCATTTACCTAGACAAGATATGTTTACACCAGCAATGTTCTACGTAAGAAGTACATGTTTGGTGCAATTTCTCTATGCTTCTTTTCAACTAATTTAATTTTCTTGTCACACCTAATCCCACTACTCATGATTGACAAATCAGAGCCGGAGGCAAAAACGAACCAAAGTTATGTGTTGGTCGTATATCCGTAAACACTACGAATATACGAAGCATACACAAATTACGTGGTTGATTTTCACAACGCATGTGCCAAATTAAGAAAACTGACTATTTTTACAAGTAAAAATAGGAAGAAGTTCGCCCCAAATATTTACTTATTGACAGTTTTGAACTGAATAATTGGGTATCTTACGTTGTAGAATTATACCATAACATTACAACTAGATTAGGTCACTTGTTCTTGTAAACTGTTTTGAATCTACGTCATGTCTCGGAAAGCATTCCTGAAAAGATCGTACACACAAAAACACCGTTCTTCTTATCACTATAATTGTAGCAATCTTTACATGTTCTTAATTTTCATCGTTTGACACATTGTACAATTAAAACTGGAAAATATAATGCAAACAGCGTGGACAGCTCATAAAGGAAATAAAGTAAAAGCTCCAATTATTCCTAGCCATTTCAAAGTTTTGAACGGAATTATACTAGAAGTTGTATATAAAACAATAATCTAAAAATTATAAACCACTGTCATAATTCAGGTATGTCAAATTTTTGAATAATCGAAACTATCAAAAATGCAAAATATATGAGAAAATTATTTATCAATATTTCATTCCTATTTACACAATGACGGCGATGATAATGCAAGTTTATCTTATTCATTTAAAGAAAGTATAAAGATAAAAATTAAAATTATAATGTAACTTCAAGGACAATTGTACAAAGTCTAGAATTTTCTGCTGGATAAAATAATATGAAAGTGAAAAAAAAGTAATGCACGTTTCCCATTTTCCTGAGAATGCCTATGTATATAAGCATACTAACCCAGTAATAAGGTTGTTGAAAAAAAAATCACTCAAAATCGAAATCCTGCCGAATTTACATGAATTACGAATAATTTTAGTTTACTAATGATATGGTTCTTGTGATTATATTGGATTCATATAGCACAATATTTTAACAACAGATCTATCTTAAACTACGATTTCACAGTAAAATAGATTCTGGTACACTCATTGAAAGTTTCACACGTGTTTGATAAAATATTAGGCTACCAAGTTTTGAAGCGGACAAATTATTACAGTTGACACAATTTGTAAAACATTTACTCCTTTTTAGCAAGGCTCGTGAGTTTATATAGTATATAAGAAATTATTGTTAATGGTTGTTTCAGTTAAAATTGAAATAGAATAAAGGGTGTTAGTGTATACTGAAAACACTGTTGAGACATTTTGTAGTTGAGAAAATGAGAAAATATATAAAATACATAAAATGGCCAAAACTGATAATGCACTTGTGTAATGAATACTGAGAGAACAAAAAGAGTCTTCGATTTCCTAGAAAAACGTTTTAAAAATATGAATTTTTGGAGGAAGACTAATGTTTCAAATGTGGATTCCAACGATGTATTTTTCAAATGGATTCTCCGCTTTTCGGTTAGACTCAGACTATAAGAAATTGGCCGATAAGCTGTACTTTATATTGGAACTACAATATCAGGGAAATTTCTGGACAAAGCTAACTAAATTTGTCTCACCACAGGCTCATTGTACTCTTACATGTTCAAATAGGTAAGTATTATTCGACAGAAATTTTCCAATACATTGTGAAGGTAGAATGTCAATTACCTCATTTCAGCATTGATTAAAAAAAAAAACGTTTTGGCTAGAAATCCGAAATCTCTTTGAAAAAACATCAATAAAATGAATTGAAAAATCGAAAATAACACTGTTTCTCGATAAATTACTTGATTGAACATAACTTTTGGTAATAACACAAAAATGACAATCAAATATCAAAAAGCATATATAACAACTATATTGCTTACACCAAAATAATAACGTATATATAATGATTAAAAATTTTGTACAATGATAACACTGTTGCGGGTCGGTACACGGTGCATGTAAGAAAATATTCTTGTACGTGTCGTGAGTTTATTTGTTATATTAAACAAAAAATAAATGTTTGCTTGTTGGACACGAAATGGCCTAATGCCCTAATGGATCGTTTTGTTATCATGTTGTAGTTGTGTGCTTTTCCTTTCAACTACTGGATCCATCGCTTTGAAATTTTCCGTAAATTAAGCTTGTTGTTGTCGCTAGAAGGCCATTACTTTTATTTATTTCAAAAATATCTGTGGACTCAATGGGATTCGTTTTCACTTCAAAGTTTTGTGTGTTGAGTTCATCAAAATTAGAAATTGCTCATCGTGGTTCCGTGAACAAATCTCAATGATCTGGTGGCCAGACTACCGGTACTGTAAAATATTTATTTGATACTACTTCGTATTGTCTTCGTGTCTTTATATTTGAGCCTGGCTCTATTCTGTTTGGCATAAACTTTGTTTGACATTGTAAGGAGGTATCGAAATGTCTATTAAAAATAGTATACCAAACATTTCGAAAGATAAAGAACATAAGCATCGACATGATTTCTGGTCGCATTGCAATATAGCTAAAATGAAGATTCAATTTCTAATATTCACTAGAACGTGACAATATCTACGGGAAGTCGGATTCAGCTTGATAGTCGGCTGCTACAATCGCTTTCAAAGCTATTCATCTTTTGTCGAATCAAACTTGCCTTCGCTGTTGCTGTTTCCTTTGATGATATCCCTTCCGTGCGCAGTTTCTCTCCTAGTATAGAAGCACCAGGAGGTAAACACAAGAGAGGACAATAAATTCGGACTTGTTATTGGTATCTCCGCAGAGGCGAATCCCGATGGGTAGATCGCCGATAACATCTCTGGACAAAAAACTTGTTTTTCTGCTTGTGTACGAAATCAGAAATGGCGTTTGCTTCGCGGAGCAGCTTGATTGTTTTCTGCACCTCCGATGCTTTTTCACAACTCGTCCGTGTTGTTACTCATGGCTGCCGTGGTCATCGCAGCATTTGGAGAAAGTTAACCAGAGGGAGTCCTGGTGATACACTGGCGAATACAAGGCCGGGATGAGTCCGTCGTAATTCGGCGGGGCAAAATTTGATTTCTGTGGAAATTTGAACATTGCATTGCTATTAATAGTTGGGCATAGTCAGCAAACCATTTGAAATGCAAGATCTTTTTTAGCAGTCGAGTAATTTATTGGTCTCATATCTTGATCTGATTTAACATAATCGGCAACAAAATTGGTTGCAAGGTGATTTTTCAAGTGCTGCCCGTCTTTACTCGGCTGGTTGATATTCTGATTATGCCTCGTAGATACTTTTAATCCTTTAGTTGGATCTGGAGAAATAAATGCTGGTTGACTTGGACGATCCGATTCACAGCTTTCATTCCGCAAGACGGGGGATATAACAGCAACCCTGTCGACGACTGTAAAAGGCTTGTCATTTTCTGAGTTGATGATTTTCAACTTTCCTTGTATTCTTCCCGGAACGAAGTCGCTGTTCGGCCTTTTACGAGGACTGGATTGAATGTTGTCAACGTCTGGATTGAATGATTTGCCGCCTGCAGATTGCGCCTGAACGCGCTTTTTAATTGGTAGCGTATCTTTCCTTCTAATTGGTTCTTGTATCCTAGGTTGCGGCTCTTAAAAGGGGAATTAATCAAAAATAATTTCTATAAAGTAGACTCAACTAAGAAATTACTAATTTATAAGATCCCGAATCGTTTTTTCGAGCCCTTAAGGTTCAACTTGCCAACCTTTAGTTTTCGTCCGTAATAACACGGAGGTCGGTCGTACTGAAGGCGTTCTAACTTTTAATTCTTTTCTCGGAGCCCGGCTGATTGGTAATGATCGTTCATAAATCGTTACGTCATAGACACCATTTTGCTGATTTCAATTAATATCGGCCAGGATTTTATTCGAGACTTTGATGTCAAATCTCCCGTAATCTCTAACCGAATTGTCATTAATATTGAACAACGTTGCTCATATTTAGGCAGTCCCGTTGTGTATGAATTAAAAATGGCGAACTTGGAATGAACGATTAGCCGATAATATTTAGGCAGAATGTGGTTAATGATATGTGACTGATGAACAATTTTTTTCATCTTCCATTTTTTAACTTTTTCCTCCAGAGATGAAAATATTTATTTACTTACTGTCATTATCGATGAGGTTTCTAAGAGCGACATTTTCGGCCTGGAGTGCTTGGTTTTTGACCGTTAATATTGCAACTTCCCTTTCTAGCCATCTCAGACGAGCTTTTTGACGATCGCGTGCTCTTTGTGCAGACTGACGATTTCTCAACTTCTTTCTGAATTCTTTTTACGTCTGTTTCGGATGTGTTCGCGTTTTCGGCATCCCTTTTAAAATATATATAAAAATGCTAATACTACATAGCTAAAAATGTTTGCGTAAATGAAAATTTTAAGCATAACATATTTCAATAATGCATGACAGTATCTCTATATCCGAAATTGATCTTGACTACAGGAGCTGGAACAATATCTACCTTAAAAACAAAAGAAAACAATATTGTTGCTTTCCCTGAAGCAGTTGAATAAACTATAGCCTATTTATACTTGTGAAAATTAATATCAGGGCTTTACAAATCAATACATATTTTTCGCATATATTTCAGTTTCATCCGTTAATCTTTCTTTCATATTATCAATGGACTCCTTGAGAAACATGTTCACGCAACATAAGACACAAATTTTATTTTCATCTCAGTGCCTCAATACCGTTGAAAAAGAGAGCATTTTTAAACGTGAGAAACAAAGCCAATTAGAGAACTTTAAAATTAAGAGATATAAGGTATTGAAATAGAAAAGGTTTAGAAACATGTTAACACCATGTACTCCAAGTTTGCACCGGGAATAAGAAGTTCCGAGATCCCAGGTTAAATTGTGTTTTTACGGATACAATTTCTCGTTATTTCTGCTCCTGTACCATAATATGAAACAGTATTGTTCCAAATCAAAACAACAATGTGTAGTTACTTACATGCTAGAATATATTTCTGTTCTCCCAAAGTGTATCATGTTGTAGTAGCATATCCGGCATGCTTTACATCTTCGCACTTGTGCACTCTCGCCTCTAGGTCTATCTGCCTTTATGTATTGCTTAAATCAGATAATGCATTATTTTATTTTTTTTAAATAAAAAGCATCTCAATAATACTGTGGAAGAAGTTATTCCCCATTTCAGATGTTTGTATTTGAAAATTTATATTTAGATATCTTTTACGTTCGCGTAAGCAACAATTTATTTATGTCACTATGTCTACTAGCCTCAGAAAATGCCTGGTGCTGTTTCTTGCCTCGTTATCACTACACGTATTACATTTTTGGTAAATTGATAGCGAGACATAGCATCAAATTAATAACTAATGGTTAGATATAGTCATTACTAAATAAAAAATGATTTCAATCGTTACCGTTTGATATTAAATACCCTAATACAAAATTGACAAACATGCCGCCAGAGAACTATGACTTGAAGGCGCAAGTAATTCTATCCCGCTACGCGTGATGGGCAAGCTAATAAGGTTTACTGACTCAATATTATTTATGATAGTTGTCGTAACACTTCCGATGTTACTACGCCGTAAGATTCATCTCGTAGCTTATGCTGACTGGAATACGATGTGTCTTTTCCACATACTTTACATAAAAGGTCTAACGAATTTACGTTTACAAGTCTTGGATTTGCCCTTAGGGTCGTGTTTCTTTGAAACCGCAATACTGATCGTGTATCTTGTAGCGTTTTTATTGGTTAACGTGACCTGTACCGTGCTTTAATTATTCTTTTAAACAGAAACCGTACACGTCAGTTCATATTTTATTTATTCTCGGAGGAGCGACTCCAAGATAGAAAGGCTGCGCTGAATCATGCGGATACTAAAATTAATCTTCTGAATGTAACACTTTAAGGAAAAGAATAACAACGATCCGGTTTCATATTACCGCAGTCTTGATCACAATGTTCCGGATAGAGTCAAATTTTTAAAACCTATTTAGCCAACGCGACAAAGGCGCCGTAACACTTTAGCCACAACACCCTGATAGAATGCCCCATTCCAACAGATACCGACTGCAACGAAAGTCGGAATATTCGACCGCACTATGATTTGTTCCAGGCAAAGCTTATATTGATATTAAACATTGGCTGAAGCTTAAAATTGTGACGGAGCATTGGGAGAGATGTTTTACAGCTTGGCTGCTGGGACAAAGCTATCAGTGGGATGCGGCTATCTCGCACAGTGGGTGTTATATACTATCCCAATTGTTTAGCATACTAGCTTTTACTCATGGTTCCATAAATTTATATATATATGAAAATCTATAGGACGTGCAACAACACTTTTGTATCTTTCAGAAATTTCAATGTTTGAGTCATATACTTAGTTACATAAGTTAAGCCACTAAATCGATTACTAATGACCCAATAAACAACAATACCTTGTTTAGAGTAACTGGAAATACACTTTCATTCTAGTTACATGGAGGCCGTTAAAGTAAATGTGACCGGACATATTTATATTTGAACGCAAGTAATTCCGCTTACACGTCTTAACCCCGCGGCAATGTGTTAAGTGCGGCTAAGTTAACGTCAGGGAAGCAGAAATGCAGTACACAATCGACGACAATAATTGACACCGATTATAGGATACGCCAGAACAAAAAACTAAGAAATGCACTCTCGTGTGAATTCGTTTCGATTATAGTTTTCAAAAATAGAAATTTACTCAATAGCCATAATATTCAGCTTGAACAGATTATAAGTTCACGGTTCCGAGTAAAAAGTGATATCGAGTTGATTTTCGAATGCTCGCCTCCCCGATTTAAGACTTATCACCCTGGTAGGTTTCCAGTCACGGTTACCAGGTTATGTTGGATGAGTTATTTGGCGGTATACATTGTTTCATTCCAGTCACTTAGATTATGCCTGTGCTGGTGGTCCTGGCCGTTCAAGACCATTCCTAACGGAATTCGAACATTCGTTCCAACAGTTTCTTCCTCATACTATGCGCCAATGTGTTTATTAGCGTTTGCTGTACATCACGAAATTCCAAGAATGAGTTCGCTCGAACTTATGCGAACTCCGGACCCCACCACTATGTAAACTATTTTAATTATGAGCATTCAATTTTTTCTTAATTTAAAATAAAAAGGGCGTTTTTCATAATAGTATATTGTTGACATAATAGTATATGCAAATATTTACATATAATTTTATAAAAGAATTTGTCGTTCATAACCCCATTCTTTGATTCTGCATCCTACCTTACTTTCAAAGGCAGTACAAATTCCATTCAGTTGATATCTATCTCTTACGTGCCACAACAATCGTCAATCGACGATACACGTGTAAAATATGACTCATGAGGTAAATAGGGCCGAAGTCATGAACCTGTCAAGCGCAACAAGTAAACAAGTCTTTGAGAAGCGATACTGTATTTGACAATTCGTAGAATGCCCTTTGGCTGCGCTTAAGTGACACGTAGGTAGATTTTATCACACAACGGTGTTTTTTACCAGCGCGAAAAGACTACAATTCTTGATGCCAGGTTTTCAAATGCGGAACGTCATCTTCAAGTAGAAGAATTTTTATATCAAAATTTCATTTTATCAAATTCTACCATCAACTATATATTTATTTTGATTATCTTTTATTTTATGAAAAACGAACATGGTGTACGTGGGATAATTTTCAAGTGGGACAAATTTGAACAAAAACATTCACTTTCGAATGTCAACTTAGAGGATCGAAATCAAACAACTTTTGCGTCTGCGTACTTCCATAAAATAATTTTGTTACGAAGTACTGTATACAATGAGAAAACACAGAATAATGGTTGTTATTTGTCTAGTAAAGAGTAGATGTAATTGAAATTCAAAAGAAGTGTTTGCATTATTTACGTGTCTTCAACAGAATGAAACATAGTAATTATCTAAAAAAATAATATCTAGTTGAATTGGACTTTCCAAAAAAAATTCGAAAATTGCCGCTTCTTTGCCGTTATTCAATTCATTTTAGTTTTTTGAACTCCAATGGTTAATTGTTTTGCGATTTTGTAACTGGATCGGATAGAGCCTAAATTTCGAACTTGGTTATCGTCGACTCCACAATGAATTCAGTCCGAATTGCATCCATGATTAGTATAACATAATTTTTTATACATTTACGCCAATATATGAACCGAAAGAAAAACTATATACCACCACAGTATATTTGCTAAAATCCGCTGCTAAGTATTTATATTGGGTTTTATTATATTTGCCACATAGAAGTACAAATGCACCATCGCAACTGTTAATAAATATGTGACTTTGAGAGAATAGAACTGGCCTTAACTTTTGATTTCAAACGTCTTTTGGTTATTCAGGTCCTCGGTCGTCTCACAATCCCCCCGTTTTTGTGATTTGTGTGAGCAAGGAAAGAATAGTAAATATGTTGAAGAAATATGAATGTATTTGTATCATTTTTGGTGTGAAAGAATACTTCACATAAATATATATATGAGCAAAGTTCAGAGTGTTTATGCACAATTCAATCTCATATTTAAATAATTGGTTGCAAGTCAAATACATAATACATAAAGAATATTAGGCTACTTTTATTTGTTGCTACGTTTACTCTGGTCTGTTACTTTGTATTTAATTTGGCCTATTTTAGAAATTGTGCCATTACGTGGCCTTTTTGGAATGAGCAATTCAAGTGCTCAACAAACACAGCATAGTGACATGTACATTTGCACCCACGTACATTTGCACCCGCGAACATTTGCACCCGCGAACATTTGCGCCCGCGGACATTTGCATCCACGTACATTTGCACCCGCGGTCATTAGCACCCACGTAAAATTGCACCCGCATACATATACACCCATGAACATTTGCACTCACGAATATTTGCATCGATGGCCATTTGCATTCATAGACATTTGCAACCATAGAATTTCGCACCCTCAAACATTTGCAGTTTACACCCATGTATACCAGTCGTTGAAGTAAAAGAGGTTTCATTGACATTCGCGTCGAAATACGGACGACTCCTTAATGTTATGAATGGTAATGAAGACGAACTTATTGCAAACCCGAACGCGATAAATTTGGATTTCCATCCATCAACTCAGGTCGAGCAAAAACCCGAAACCGGCGGAAAACAATCCGCATCGGTATAGACACCATTCTGACCCAACAATACAAAAAGTAGGAAAGTGCTGTAAACAACCTGTTCCGTACAAATTCTGCTTTCGCTCGTGTCTCGCTCTCTGATTTCTGTTATCTATTACTCTTTCTCAAAGCACGTCTCTCTTGTCTCGTACAGTTGGTTTTACACTGGCGTTTACACTGAATTAATCCATCTACGATCGGTTTTCGTTTGCTGTGTCAGCTTAAAATTTGTAATCCGTCTTTATTTCGAATATATATTTGTAGCGGTTCCATTACATTTGAACCCACGTACATTTGAACCCATGACAATTGCACCTGTATGCTATTGCACCTATGGAATTTTTTTTGTTTCACGGATAGTTAAACCCATACTAACCCTAACCCATGGGTTTTAGCACCCGAATATAGATTGAACCCGTGGATATACGCATGTATAAATGTACATGGGTTCAAATGTACGGTCACCATTTGTAGCTGGTTATAGTTTTTCTGAAACACTGTTATTCGCGACATCGCGAGCTAGCACGACTGTGGATGCAAATTTATACAGGTGCAAATATCCACGGGTACGGCAGGTGTTCTTGGGGCGAATGCATATGCGTGAAAACGTCACGGGTACAAATTTCCATGGGTGCAAATGTACGTGAATGCGAATGTCCGTGGGTGCAAATGTAGGTAGGTGCAAATTTCCGCGGGTGCAATCTGCAGGTGCAAATTTCCGTTGGTGCAAATGTCCAAGGTACAAATGTTCGTGGGTTCAAATGTACAGGGGTGCAAATGTTCGTGGGTGCAAACTGCAAAGTCCATGGGTGCAAATGTCCGCGGGTGTAATCTATATGCGGGTGCTAGAATCTATGAGTGCAGATGTCAGTGGGTGCAAATATTGGTTGGTGCAAAAGCATGCGGGTATGCATTGCATTTTTTAGTAGGTAGCACCCCGACCTGTATTAGTACAGAATTGAACACGATATTAGAACCGAAGTAAAAAAAATAAATATTTTCAATGGTAAAATAGCTGTGTCGCTGAGACAAAAACCTCATTAAGTTCTAGAAGATAATTGAACTGGGACACAATTTTGGATACTCCCGTAGTATGTGAACCAAGATGGCGTACACCGGAACGTAGTATGTGTACCAGGTTAGGGTTAGGCCATAATTTCAGGTACAAATACTACGGGAGTCACTTGGCTATTCCCCAAACTTGTAATAGAACTAAAATAAGGAAATTGGAATAAAATTATGGCCTAACTCTAACCTGGTATACATACTATGTTCCGGTGTCCGCCATCTTGGTTCACATACTACGCGAGCGCACAATTTTGTATGTTCACAAATAATCAAAACGTCACAAGAATATATTAAAACGTGTTCATTTACATTTTAAATTCATATTATCACATTCGTTCACTGCATTAGTTTATTTAATAAATAGGATCAATATTTTATTTATACTCAAATAATAATCATAATCCTAGATTCGTTTAAAATTGACATAAATATTGTAATGATCATTACGATGCTTTTATATAAAAGATTGAAACTTATGGCTTTGGTAATTCAATGTTTATTTTCTGATATAAACATTACTAAACCAGGCGATTGACCTTGCCAGGGGATACTAATTTTTCTGAAATCCACTTGATTCCTTCATTTAAACCTTCGCCAGTCTGAGCATTTGATGCACAAATATACCAAGGTCTAAAATCAGGACTTTCATTATCCAAGTCATTTCCTTCCCATGACCCTTTGTTGAGACCTAAAAGTTGTGCGCATTTCGGCGCTGGCATTGAATTTCTGATGTCACATTTGTTGGCATAGAACAATATTGGTAGATTAGGTTTTCCCGCAATCGAAGGATGTTTGAGTAGTTCATTAAGTTCTTCTTTAGCTACTGGTATTCTCAACCGATCAGAACTGTCGAGAACGAAGATGATTGCATCACACTTTGAGTAGTACTTTTCCCATAGATTTCGATATCGACCCTGCGTCAAACAAATACGTCTGCATTAATTAGTTATTAATTGTGAACGTTGATTTTTAGATTTGTTCAATGTTACACAATAATACAATTAGAACTATTTACATTTTCATCGGTATTTATGTTTGTTCTGCTTGGCTGACGGAAAAGATTGCTCAAATAATTTCAAATCAGTATGAATAGAGAATCAAAAAGCAATCATTTTCAGTATATATATACGAAAAGATACGGCACCAATGACGGTTGTTCGTGCAAATATCACAAATTGTGAAACATACTATAAACTGGTAAACGAAGAAAAATGTAGCAGCTAGCAGTCGTAGTTTAAGTTTAAGTTCATAATTAAGCTGTCTTCATCATTTACTTATTCATTCAATGTCCACCAAAACTAGTTTTGTACGTGTCATATTGCGGTTAGCTATAAAACTCTGTGTGTACACCTGTAAATTCGAAGATTGGTTTTCAATATTTAACTGGCGTATTTATGATTATTTGCACGGTAGTTTTAAAAGTGCTTCTATTTCTGGCCGTATAAATTTACTTATCTCATCGTCATATTTATGAATGGTCATTTTTCACATAAACGTGAGGACGTCGACATCTTACAGATATCACTGCCTCGGAGTGGCAGGTAATAATGGTATTTGTTGCTACGCTCTAATGCAGGATTTTAATTTGAAAATGTGTTATTTACATTGCAAAATTTATTTGTGCATCGAACACCGTATTTATATAGCTAAAAGGCTAGATCGCATTTTATACAGCAACATCTCCATCAATAATGTATATTTAATTTGGATATGAATTCAACACGAGGCGACTTTTAGATCAATACTAGCGTATAAAATTTAAGTATAATGTGTTTAAACTCATGCTCAATTAAATGGCATTCGTAGGATTTGGGTTCAAATGAACCTAAAGTTGAGCAAGCAAAGTTTGCTCTGTGATGATGGATTCCATAATCCGAATTTTGGTCGAGTGTATGATAAATCTGAAGATATTCTTGTTTAACCAAAGAGGATCTAACAAAGGTCGCAAATTACGATGTATGTCATAAATAATGTTTATTGGATACGTAATGGACGTATGGATCATTTTGCAAAACTGTTGCTTTGAAAAAATTGCTTCTTTTTGCAACTACCGGATCAATTGATCACAAACTTTCAGTATGTACTTGAAATGGGCTACTGTAGCGAAAAGTAGCTACAAGGCTATTACTTTTATTTTATTTTACTGAGTGCTACGGAGCCGAGGAATAAGCTAAAATATATTTAGCGCTTTTTTAATTCATTGGAAAACATTCCGATCACATTGCGTATTTGTTTGAACATGGCACTTTGTTCTAGAAACAAATTACTTGTGTCCCTATTGCTAAATTCGTAACACTGGTCCTATCCAATAAACTCAATTCTCGAGTTACATCAATATTCAAAAAGCTGTTTGTATCGAATCATAATAAAGTCGTTTACCTGTCCAGACATATCAAATGCTGTAAATGTGATGTTGGAAAATTTGAATTTTTCGACCGAAAATCCAAGCGTCGCAGCGGTATCCATTCGCTGGTCTTTCTTGGGTTTAAACTTGTCTAATATTGTTGATTTTCCGCTGTTGTCCAGTCCGACACACAAAATTCTTGCCTCGCGTTTCTTGCCGGCTAGCCATTTAGATAGAGAACCCCAAAATCCCATGTTGTTTTGCTCGAGTAAATGATTATTCGATTTTAGACATAGTTTATTCTTGAAAACATAACAATAAAAACAATTAGTAAATAACAATATTCAAACTCATTTGCAAATATAAACTCAAACATAGCTAATTTGCTCTTCAAGCAAATGGGCCTTTGTTAGCGTCAGGCATTTGCATCTGTGCTTAATTTGTTTGCTCACTTTCACTCCCAAAACCCAAAAACACCACTTGAAAAACTTATGCATTGAGGGTAGTTAATTAAATTCATATCGTTATCAACTGCGCATGAGAATTGCATGTGGGTTTCCAATAGGTACCTCAAAACTGACTGACAATTTTTACCAGCTACCAGCAATTCTCAAAATAAAGTTTCCTCCCATAGTAGCAAGGTACATGAATATGAAATGTTTAAACATAGCGAACTATGCCAGTAACACGACCTCACATCGTGCTCAAATTTATCTTACATAGTTCTGTTGGTACCCACTTGTGAAGCCGTGAAATTTCGCTTTCGAACGAACGGCGTTGCTCGCAAAACTGTAATTAATTACTTCTGACTATGTGATCTTAATTCTCAATTTCAGGCCTTTTCTTGATTTCGGTACATATTTAGCAAGCAAAGTTAGCCATACCTTTACAAACGTTATAACGGGTATATAAATTCTTTTAACTGACAAAAGAACTACGTCAACTTTCTCCAGAACAATACTTCCCAAGTCGATTTGATTCAATAAAGCGGAATTGTTTTGTTTACTCAGAAGGTTCGTTTATATTGAAACTATCCGCTTTTGTGTGGTACGGTCCAAACATAATGAACCAGAATCACCGTGGCAAAGACGATAACAAACACCCTTGTTATTCCACTCCTCGCGGGGCCAGTCGTCTGTAGATCGCGCGCGGTTCGTGGGAAATGAATTCCAGCTTATATTTTCATTTTGAATTCATGTCAAGTTCAACTCAAATTTCAACGCGGAGAATTAAATTTAGCTTATAATGACCTACAGTATTAATCTGGGAATATAGGGTTGTCTGACTTCACGTAATGTGCCGCCATATCTTCATACGGCTTTGGAAGCTCTCAATATAGCGATAAACGGAATTTGGTCAGGGATGATAGTACCAAGTATAGCGTATGTGGGCTTTCATTGAGCAAATTCCCCAAAATATTATGGCGGATAATGGCTCGTCCCACGAGGAGCTGATCAAGGACTTGAGATGACGGATGTTGCTGAACCGGTCACCGGCTTCGCTCATACCTCTGCAGGAATCTTCGTGCATATAATCACCACTTGTTCGACTCGAATTCGAAAATACCAACGAAACTAAATGCAATACTGCGAATTCAAGTGTTCTCGTTTCCACCACGAAAGTTCACCAATGAGTGCCTAGTTCTCATTTTATCGCGGATACGTCGCAATCAACCCAAAAGGCACACTTTTGCATAGAGTACAGTTTACGTCGCAATCAACCATAAAAGGCACACTATTTTGCATAAGAGTACAGTCTTTATTTTATGTCAGCGATGATGACAGAATAGTATATTTCATCCAGCCCTAAATTTACCATGAACTATGCTTCAGAGAGTCATATATATCATAGATATATTTAGGACTAGATTAAAATATCTCCAAGAGAGCAAGGTGTAGAGTAAAACTGTGATGTAGTGGCATATACAACATCAACAAGACATATTCGCTACAAATATAAAATGAACAAACGATTATGCCGAACACACAACCAGTCACACACACATACATACAAACACACATATATAGAATAGATAGACCGATAATATATATTATAGATAAGATAGAAAAATAGTCCAAGAAAGATGAAAATTGAGTATTATTTTATTGATAAGACGCATGGCATGGTACTATATATTTCCACTTGACCAAAAAAACGATTAAAAAATACAAATGGTTGAAACTTGACATGAAAGAAATATCTTCAGATCATGGTTGACAAAGAAGGGCATGAACATCGCTAATCAGGAATTGGAGGAGACCAAACTATTTATCATGAAACATTTCTTCAAAAGAACAAGATAAAGAAATTTGGACACGACAAAAGAAACAGTGTGAAAATCAGAAATCATTCAAGTGTGACTGGTCAGCACAATCCAAAGACAAGTTACAGTGCTGCCATTATTTTTTTTCTCCCACCCCACTGATGTCAAGGTATACTAAAGAATAGCGAACCCATAAAACTCGACCACAAATATAAGGAGAATATGTCGACGCTGCCCTTGATAGTTAAAATACCAGAATTGCATGAATAAATGAAAGGAGAAGTAAACATGGAAATAAATATAAATGAACTGACAGGCAGGAAACTATAAATTTTTCCATACAGAAAAAAACGTTTATTATACTAAATAGGTTTCATTTTATAAAACGTTTTTATATTTCAAGTAAAATTAACTTCAGAACATATAGAAGGCAATGGCATTTTCACTGGAATTGAGTTAATAAAGATGATTTAATGAACAATTGCTTATCCTCATACAAATTTGGTCCCTCGTTTGAAAGTAATTTGAACTCAACTTCATTTTTGTTCAGTCTTTGTACAGTTGCTACACCACCAAGAACAAATAATGAAAATAAATGGAGCTTTTTTCCGAAACTTTGAACTTGAAATTTCATGAAATGTAAGCAATATGATGAATTTAAATGCTTCCGAAGAGGTCCATGTTGTGTCAGGAAAATTCGTCGAAGGAAATCTCGCCGCATTGGGTTAGGGTATGCTCCTAAATAACGAATCTTTTTTAAACAAAAAGATAATTCAAAAACCTAACTGTTTTTATCACAAATACTTGTTTTACAGCAAAATGCTCTTGCGGCTATGCTGCGAAATTTCCTGCGACGAATTTTCCTAGAACCATCCATGTTAAGTATGTGCAGTTAATAAACAATCTCAATCAATACAGTCTATTAAATTGCCCATATAAATTTTGTATGTTTTTCTGATTTTATAATTTCGCTTTTGATCTGAACAAAGCTACAGACAAGCCTGTAAGTTTAGCATAGTTTTCAACCCTCATTACACAATGGGTGCAACAGTGGGCATGGATAAGAACATAAAATTTTGAATTCTCATAGAAATTGTTGAACGATGCTGAAGAGCTTATCATAGAATCAAAATATATTTCGCTAAATTGAATAGATATATACTTCAGAATCAGACGATCTCAATGCTGAAATGTCCGTTAAAAATCATGTCAAAACTGGTGGTAGAATACTTGTGCAGGTAATAACTAACGATATAAACCAAAAAAATCCATTTCTGATCTTCCATTTTAAAAGTTAAAACTAAAGCTACCACCAATTCAAAAAAATACATCGCGTTTCCTGTGTTTCTGGCGTCTTATCAATTATATGAAATTTAATACACATTTCATGAGGCTTTTGAATGTTAAAATTAATTGTTTAGGTCATGATATCTGGGTGTATACTATTATTATGTTAAATTTTGCTACAAGAATATATGACGACGAGGTCGCGTGGAACTATCAAGCTGATAAGATAGATTTACAAAGTGAACTGGGGGAATTCAGAAATCAAAATGCCATTGTATAAAACCAATGCCTTACATTTCGATCAATTTTTACTCTGACGACTTGCCCTGGAAAAGCAACAATGAAAATAAAAATAGAAAAACAGAAAATATAAGGATTACGATTACATACTGTGTAACAAAAATTGAGCACAGTATAAAGTGAAGTTTGATACTAAAAAGAAAAGAAAAAATAGCCAGCATGTTTTGTAAAGTCAATTTTACATTACAGCAGTAGCAGCAAAATTTTATAAAAAAAAATCCAATTCATTTTAGACCTCTGATGAAGTTAAATAGAAACAAATAACACAAAATATACCATGGGAACACAGAATCTTAGAAATTCAAAAATTTATTTGAAGATAAAAAACATTTTGGTCAAAAAATCAAGTCAGCATTAGCCAAGAGACCACTAATGTACTTGAAAATTTTTTCCCTGAAGCTTACTGCAAATCTTTTTATAACTCAGTTAGAGCTCAAATTTCTAAATATCCACGTTTCTGTTACTAGAAAATATTTTCAAAACAAGTATTTTGTCCTAATATATATAAAGCTAACCCATAACATAATGTGTATCTAATTTTGTTTGTAAAATTTAAAACATGCGAATTTTTTGCAAATTGGAAGTAGAATGACAAAAAAAGTTGCTTGTCACAAAAATGCATTAAAGGCCATGGATAAAACATCTCAATTGTTTATTCCATATTCAAAGATTTCAATTTTAAATGAAGTTGAGATGGGCATATTCGAATAAAGATTATCAAATAGGAATACAAAACCATAATACTTTATATTTATAAATAGAATTATTTTTATTTTAGCAAATTATCATTCATCATACTAAAATCTATTATCCCAACAGACATAGACTGCACAGCTGTACAGCATTAGGGATAATATCCCAAAGCTTGTTGCACTCTGGACCCAAGTCGAAAACAATGTCTAATAAAAAATTGTATTAAGCTATTCATTTATATGCAGAAATGTTTTATCAAATTATATACGATCTCCCACAAATAATTTAAACATAAAATTTTGTCACTATCAAAACTTTATACTCAAAAAATCAAGTACTAAGTTTATTTAGTATTGTCTCTTAATTACAAAATGCTTGAAGCAGGGATGTGCAACATTTAATATAGGAAGGTCAGATACAAATAACTGGGAGTCAAACCACGGGCCGCATTCTTATTTTATTTCTAGTAGTTGCAGGTACAAAAATTTTGGTTATCGATCTTATAACATGCGTTGTTCACTTCGCACAAGCTAGCTGTGAGTGCATTGTAACATTATAGGCATAGATAATAAATTGGACTCAGGTATAGGCTTTGCAATGCAAAGAAATTGGAATCACTCGCACGTACCAGATTAATCTAAATTCAAAACTTGTTTCGTAAGCTGCACACTATTCAGAATTGGCACTTCTCCGCGGACTACACAATTTTTCCATTTTGGGCCGCATTTTGTCTGCAGGTTGCACACCCTTGGCTTAAAGCATAGGAATTAATTTGAAATTACAGCTTGGAAAATACATTCTATTAGGGAATGAATCTCGGGACTTAACGAGTTACTTCATAGTAATCAGGATTGAATTCCATTTTCAATTCACAAATCCGTATATCAGTTTTTATTTTCAGATCAAAAAATTTTGAAAATCTTTAAAATTATACTCATTATTTTTTGAAGTAATTGGAGTGTGTTCTTTTTTTGGGCTGTATCGCATGAGTGGGTGATGCATATCTTCCTCCTCACCCATGTTTTGATCGAGTATGCTTGTAGATTGATGCTGCAGCCTTGGAGAAGCACGAGGTGGAGTGTCCCCCATACCGCTAGGTCTACTGGGATACCTTCCCACAGATGGACGTGATGACGGAACGGGTTGTAAAGGAGCAGTTGCTACAGAGACAGTGGTGTTTAGAGGTCGTGAATTTGGGAAGTGAGACGATCCCGGAGACATTGTAGTGTGTGGGTCAGGTGCTTGCCTAAACATTGGATACGACGCAGAAGTGTAGGGCATTGGAGGTTGGTGATATGGGTTTGTTGGTCGAGGTGGTCTCAGTTGAAATCCCATGCTGTGTGAAAACTGACTATTATTATAGTAAGGTACCACAGATGATGTTTGTGGAGTGTTGTACCCTCTTTGTTGCTGTGACCCATACCCCGGTACATGTAAAGTACCATCGGTGGGTGTAGACGAGTCTTCCTCACTTATTGATGATGTGCCACAAATACTGCCACCACCTATAGATGCCACCCCTGGAGCCGGAGAAGCACCCATGGGTGAATGTTTGTGTGGTTTCCCAGACGACCCCCAAGAGTCTAAACTTCTGGCTCCAGATCCGTGCAATGGTCTTGGTCGAGGTGTAATGGCGAGTGTGGTAGGACGTTCCAGTGATGGATCATGTATGGCACCTTGGTCGCTTTTTCTACGTGATGATGCAGTGGGAGCAGGCAGTCTGTAGATTTCGGGATCAGGATCCGGGGTTGCAGCTGAATAAGAAATAAATTCAATATTAAAAAATTGAAACAAAAAAAACTGAAATTAACAGTACTAGCCTTACATAAATAATAGACATTATTTAACCACAGACCTGAAAGCATGAAGTTATTTTTTCACTTTTTCACTGCTAACGTAAAACAAAAACTCACATCTTTCTTGTGCATTTTGATTAATCAAGACACGGACAGCGTTTTCTAATGATGGCATTGGAACTCTACCATCTGATGGTGTTCTTCTGTGTCCACGTTTTGTGTGCATGCCAGTATCCATTACCGATAGTCCAACTTCCGTTGGCCCCCAGGATGATCTCTTTTTTTCTGATGCATTTGTCGATATTTGTCTGATTCGATCATGTTGTTGCTGATCTTGCGGTAAATGTATTGGTTGGTCCAGAGACATGGCAACACCGCTATCCCCTAAATGAATAGATAAAAAAAAATTAAATGACAAAATTGTGATTAAAGTTTTGAATAACTGGAAAACAAGGTAAGCTATTCAAGAAATTTATAATCGCCTCAGACTCTAGGTGAGAAAAATTTTGTCTTAAGTCTGCAAATTTAGAAAAATTTTGCCTCCTGACTATGAGCCGACAAAAATTTCCACGTCACACCAAGTCCGATCCAAGGGTATATTTAATTTTGACAACGAAAACTTTTAGCACATGCAAGCCTTCTTTAATAGATTGAACACACAGTAATAGAACACCTATTACACTTTACAGAAACTTTTTTATCACCGTTATGCTAAGCTTAAGAGAGTTTTGACTCCGACTGGGGAGTACATAAATACGACACAGACTCCCAAAATTGTGACGGCAAAGAAAACATGACATACTCCATATCCCCAGTATTAACATGTGAACAGTTAATAAAACACAAATAGCTAGGTAAAGAGTCATAACATACCATGTTCAATTTGCATAACTAGTATGGCAAAATTATTTTATCAATGCCGAACAAAATAATTTCTTTACCTGATGTATGAGAAAGCTGAGCAGCATAGTTAACTCTGCCACGATCCTCTTCTTCAGCGTGAAATCCGGCATTGACACATTTATCATTTGTATATGAATTGGAAGTTAGAGTAGGTGCGCTACATGCAACATGAGGCAAATTAGAATGCTGTCTGACAGCCTGAAATAGGGATGCATTGTCTGCTACACGAACAGTCTTATCTGTATTTTGAGCAAAATAATCTAATGCTGGAATGGAGTCTGTTGATAAAGATAAATGTGTTACAGCAGATGATGGGTCACTGTCCAAAGATTTTTCCATGACTTCATGATGCATATTCTCGTCTTTTAGTCCTGTGACATCCATCTGCGTTCTACGGTCATTTGAAACGGTCGTTGTAGTGATATTAGTAGTGGACGACATCACTGTACTAGAAGATGATTTTCCAGGTTTTGTAACACTAGGATTTATGGAGGTAGGAACCTCTTCCATTAAGTTAGGTGGCAAAGCAATTTGTGCGCAACTACGAATGTCTTTACCGAGTGCGACAGCAGCCAGGATTGAAGCAATATCAATCATCATCTGACGTAGACTGTGATTCATTCTCTTTAAACTGGAAAACAAAAAACACTTCGTTTACAAAATAAAAATTTCTGAAGAATCTCTGAATCTGAACAGTTTGTTTTAGATCTAACTTCCTTATTTATTTTTTTTAATTTCAAAAATTTTATTTGGAAAATCTTGAAATCATGTATGAAATAATTCATTTTGAGAGGCATTTTAACACCCTTACTCTAAACAAATCCCTCTGACACAGACATCAAGCCTACTATTCCTGAAACGGTAGGAATACCCTTTCGGTTGGACATTTTTTACACCATGTGAAGCCAACATGGTAGGGTCCAATGTTCTAAACATTAGACCAGTGATTTCAACCGGGGTTCCGGGGGCACCCCAAGCTTCCGTCAGTATGGTCCAAGGGTTCTGTGAATTTACATTCATATCCAAGCATCATATTATTATATACAGACTTATTGTTTAAACCTACTCAAATTGGTTTGTTATTGTTGAACTTGCTTTCATCTGACAGATCATTTTGCCAGTAATAAGTTTGCCTTTATATATATTTAGTGTGTAGAATTCTTCTTACAGCCTTACAAGTATGCATGGATTTGAAAAAACGTTAATTACATGGAGACGTTTTTACATAAGACAAATAAACTAATGCACAGGAGTTCCTCATTGTTTCTTGGGGTTACCGGTACCAAAAAAGGGTGAAAACCAATGCATTAGACACTCGTATCCGCTCCCAAACTTTTCATTCTTACAACAACTACAGTCAAGTGCAATATATGGCAAGTGGTTAGAATTATTATTAAAACCTTATTATGTAGTGAGTATACCTGTTTTCACGACTGCTTTCAGGTGTTGGACGAGGAGTGAAGTCATCGCTTTCATAACTGCCTTGTTTATTGTTGGTTTTTTCAGGAACAATGGGAAGATTTTTTGGTCGCACTGTTATGTCGTTGTCATCGTTTTGGTCAAGTTCACCTGAAACCAAAATATTCAAATTTATTCAAAGAAGCGTTATCAAAATAAACAATATGATTATTTTGACTTTTTTGGCTAAAATAATAAAGGCTCAAAATTCGGCGCTCGAGAAGTGTGTGTACCAATATGGAGGTAGCTAATTTTGTTGGCCTACTTCACATCAAGTTGTATAAAGGGACTGAAACCTATGGGCAGGGGGTATATTCACTTGGCCAACACAGACCTTCCCCGAACTTGTAATAGAACTAAAATAAGGAAAATCGGAATGAAATTATGGCCTAACCCTAACCTGGTACGCACACTAAGAGAGTACCTAAAAATCTGCAAAAAAATGATCGTCGAACAGACAAAATTAACTGGTACATCGTTATTGTTTTATTCAAGGTACTTAAATAAGGTATATGCCTTTCGCTCCAAACAAGCCACCACAGCTGGGTAAGAAGCAACTATGGTTTGAAATCAAAATCTTTATTTTTGATCTTGCATACTCAATTTAAGACAACCTGGGGTAGGTGGGATGTGGGGTAGGTAGGTATCCTAGTGGGCAATGTTCCGTCTAATTTTTTTTAGTATGTGTGCGCAGAAATTTTGGTGTGTGAGCACTTCTTTGGAAATGAATAATATTTGTGCAAAAACCAATAAAGAAATTTTGGCGTTCTAACCGGGTTATAAGTGGGCCAACAACAAACTTTCTCAACCTGCCAACCGAGCACATTGTTACATTACATCGAAACAGTCTGTGCGCAGTAAATCTATGCGTGTGTGCAGCCCCTGAAAGCTGTGTGCGCGCGCACACGTGCACACCTCAGAGGGAACACTGCTAGTGGGCATAGGATTTGAACCTGCGGTGCCATCCAGTTAAGTTTAACGCTTTAACCGCTGGGCTACCGCGCACTATTGATGATGAAGGTGCAGTATAAAACAACATCACATGCAAGTTAATATATAAATGGCGATTTGGCTAATTACCCTAAGGCTTTTTTAAAGCATATTCGCATGAAATCACCATGGTATTGCTCCAGATTGTCCACAGATTAAAATAGTCTAGTAACGAAAGATATGCAAATCAGTTAGTGAAATTATGCTGAATTTAAGATATTTCAGTAAAATATGTATGAATCGATTTTTATTAGGTGAATGTACATTAGAAAAGATGTAATACCTTGGATGTGACAGGTAACAGGCAAAATGAGTTATAACCATTAGGTATCTAATAATGATCAACTAGTTCTTTTTTTAGCTTCATTAATAACCCAGGCATCACTATGCTCACTTATGTAATCAGTAATAATCATAAATCCTAAACCTTACCAATATAAAAGCTTTTAATAAACATGGACAGTAAGTTGAGTATTACAAAACAGTACCACAGAACCACATCTGACATTGAAATTACCGATAGGGAATTACCCTAGAAAAATCCAGGTAGTTCCACCAAAAATTTTAGTTGTTGTTTAGTTAAAAGTAATCTTACACAAAGGATACCTTGCTGAAATTTATAAAAATTTATAAATTATACCACTAATCAAAATTTGTGTTATCCATTATCTATTATTTAACAACATAACAAGTCTGAAATAAACACAAGTCAAAATTTTTGATCATTGACATAAATCTAGGATTTAAATATCAGAGTAATATTTCAACACTATTTTCATTTGTATTGACACTTAACTTACCAATGTGACTAGGTCCATTGAATATAGAATCTGAAGTTGATTTTTGATAGGTAACATATTTGGAATTATCATCAATATGGACTTGATCTAAATGCAGAAGTTGAATCTGTTACTAGTATAAGTTTGAAGACAAAAAAAAATTTGGTGTAAATGTAAAAGAGATCAGACAAGCACTTTATAAAAGACGACCATATCATCCCCATTCATATCATCCACATTCGATTCAAAGGAAACGAATAGATTATAACTTCATATAAAAGTAAAAAATTAGTGATAAAAGAACTGATATCTGAAATTTTGTAATTTTGGAAAAGCACCTAATCTGAATAAATGATATACCAGACATCATCAGTCAACTTAGATGGTATTTCGAAAGACTTCAAAGAAAGAACACAACAACAATGACATTGAGGAACAAAGTATGACAATGTTATTGAGTAACAATTGTTCTAAATTCTAAAATAAAATAATGAATTCTTATAAGGAAACCTATAACTTCAACAATATGAATGGGCAATTATTCTTCTACAAGAAAAACTTAACCCGGAAAAATCCTAATTCGGAATTAAAATTAGCAATGCGAATTATTGGGTGATGTATTTTTGTGTTTAACATATTTCACTGACAAAGCCTCAGTAGTGTTGGACATTTAAGCAATGCATGGAAAAGGTTTAACTTAAAGCATAGCCCTATCAAGTTTATCTGAAGTTAAATAGAAAAATACACTGATTTTGAAATCCTTGTGGAAGTCGTGTGCCAAATGGAAAACAAATCAAGAACCTGCATCGATTAATGGATTATAAAACTTACCTATTTTGATTCATAAATTATCAGATTTATTTTATATTATTGATGTTTAAATATATTTTGAAACAGTCGAGGATATTTAAGTCAGGTAAAATATTGTGATAGCGTCTTACAACTAACAATGGCTGACTCAAAACTGAGTCATGATACATATTCTGAACTCAATATAATAAGGGTTTTGAAAGAATTTAGTTTATACATTATTCAATCATAATTCTATTTTGAAAATTTGCTTTTTATATTGTTATTTTATGATATTTTGCAGAACTTGTTCCATTCCATGTACAGAATAATCACACTATCATTACTTAAATTATATTATTTAATATATAAAACCTATATTAGAATAGGAAATTTAATCATGATATTTATAAGTCTATAATGTATATTAAAATAGCAAAACTTGACAGATTGTTAGATACACAAAACTTCCAATAAAAACATTTCAGCAGTAACATGTCTGTCAAAACACTGGAATTAAGTATCGATATATATATATATACTAAATGATTCAAGAGTCTTGCTGCACACTTAACACAAATATATTTCTGTAACGTTTCTTCTGACCAAGGTCCGACCGACTTCCTCAGACATACATAGTTTAACTGACCTTGGCCAGACAAATCGTTACAGGAATATATTTGTGTTTGTGTGCAGCAAGACTCTTGAATCACTTAGGATAGTTATTTTTACTCTTGCTACAGCATCCTTGCATTATATGCATACCGATCCAATGGCACAAAAGCATAGGAAGTAGGAGGATAAGTAGTTGATCCTGCAGAAACCAAATCATTAGTGCAAGATATATATATATATATACCTGGTGTTTTAGTAGCAGATGTTTTTCTTTTAAATGAATTCGAACTTTCGTCTTCTGTGGGATCTAGATAAATAAAAGATTCAATCAAATTAAGTTAAAAATTTCTATGATACTATTCCTGAGAAGTTGAGTCAGGTGTGTATAGTGATATCCAAAGGATTGTAATTTAGTCTGTAACTAATTTTGAATGCAAAAAACACAACATATGCCGAATTCACTTTTTGTGCAAGTTCAAAAATAAAATACCAAATGGATAGGCTACCATTTGAATTTGATATTACTTATATATTTCATTCAATATTGAGTAAATTAACATTTCAAACATCAGGTTTACTAGTGAAGTTCTGTATCTCATAAAGATGAATTATAAATTATAAACAATTATGAACAAGAAAATAATTACAAATTATTATTTAATTTTAATACAAGTGAGTTCAAATGTCTGAATAGTTTAATAAGAGAGTACTAATGCAAAAATCAAGTGCAAGTATAGCAATATATGATCAAAATTTTCGTATCTATTCTATCGGATAGAGTAAGCAAAAAAGAAGGCTTGAGTACATAGCGTCACACAGATATGGGAAAGCACTTATAAATTCATTCTAGATGCGCAGACATGAACCACACTGTTGCAGTATATTCAGAGGTACGATTGTAAGTGAGTTACTAATGCTTAACACAAAGGGAAGTTTCAAGAAAAATTAAATAACAATAAAAGCCAAGCATAGAATACATAAACGATGAATAAATGAGTATAATATATTATAATAATTTTTTAGTCATACATCAGAAAAAACATAAATATGTATATTAATTCTTACACTTGAATAACAGATTCTAAATAAAAACTTACTTTGAATAGTTTTAAGTCTGATGGCTCTTGGTGGATCAGTGGGCAGATAATTATTTGCACTGTCCTTTTCTAAAAACTCGTGAAGAATTGTTTTATGTTTTTCAGATTCTTGTTCTGCTTGTACTGATAACTTGTGTTCAAAATCTGAAAACAAAATATTCGTCATTAATTGAAAAGTAAGAATCATATTGAAAATTCTATTATCTGAACACTTTACAACAATACTTTCCAATACCATTCATTTTATCTAAAATTCATATATATTAGCATTGATTGCCAAGACAACAAAGAAAGGCTTCAATATCACAATTTTCAAGCTTAGCATACAAAAAATCGTCGTTATACTATGATCAAATGAAAGCTTACAAATTAATTTTTCATTTGGTGGAAAAAATTTATATCATTCTTGTAACGCAGTGTTTCCCAACCCGAGTCCGCGGTCTCAAATGAGTCCGCGCAGCGTTTGAATGAGTCCGCAACGAGCCATAAATTCACTGCGGGCCGCAAACGTTTTTGCGAAACTTAACCATCAGCCACGATTTACGTTAGAATTTACATAAAACATAAAAAGCAAGTTTTTTCATATAACATTAATCGAGTCAAAAATTTCTGGATACTGAATGAGTAGAGCTTGGCATATATTCGAATATTCAATTATTAGAATAGCAATTTATTATTCGAAAGTTTGGTAACAAATGACGCGACAGGTCACTTGCGCGTCGTTTAATCAAACGATTGGATTTAGTCGTTGTTGTTCGAGGAATAATTTTTCTGGTAGGTGTCAATGGTGGCAACCTTAATTTTCTAAATTGAAAAGCGGAAATACAAAAAATAAAACTGAAAACACCATGAGTTTTCAAAAACGCTTTTTTAGACATTTTGCAAATTGCAAAATTTCGGGTGCTACCGTAGTATTCGTATCCGGGCATTTCCCCAGAATTCTTTGCTTTACTGCAGGGTCCGCAACCTACGGCCCACGGAGCAATATAATCAGGCCCGCGACGATTACGATTATATTCTTTACGTGACAGAATTTATTTTGCGGCACGTTTAGACTAAATTATACCATAAACTAACAAGTATATAATTCACAATTACTCGTTGAATGAGCCTATAATTTAATTATAATTAGGCATTCAATGGCAACAAAACGCAGAAAAGTTGAACGCCAAGTGTAATTGGTTCAATATTCAAATGGTCAGTCTTCGGGCCCTGCTCAAAATTTTACTTCTGATTTGTATGATGAAAAAATTTGATTCATTGGCCATACCCCCGGCTTTTAACTTTCTAAAAATATGCGCTGCCCACCAATGACTTGCATTCTTCAATTTTGGCCTGCGAGCGACAAAATGTTGCCGACTCCTGGCTTTACTGTTGTACGAACAGCTCATATTTGTCGAATTCAAAAAAATACGAATCGCAGAGTAAATGGATCACAATTAAATCAATATTAGAGCAAGGCGATGAATATTTTTTATTTTTATTTACTAATATACTATTTTATTAATAAGTACTAAATCAAGTTGTACTTTCTAGAAATTTATAGCAGATAGTAGGATTTTTCTAACAGTGATTCGCAAGATTGCAAATAATTTATATCAAAACTAATTATAATCGGGCCATAGAATCTCACATTATTATGTTCGCAGATTGCCGTGGCATTCAAAAGAAGTAATGCTTTCATCTTGTCATAAGTCAACGCAACCGCGAGTGACCATGAACACAATTAAATTAAAATAGGAACACATTTTAAATTCTTGTCGTTGTCAAGGATTGAATATTGTGCAACAGAAAAGGCCCTTTATTCACTAAAGAAATTGGCCCTTTTAACAAAGGCGTAATTGGGTAGCATTTCCGATTCCAAAATTCGGAAAATTTCTGTTGTGTTTGGTTTTATTACTTCTTCACACAGAGTACAGTTGCAATAAACTCACGTTGAGTCCGCAAAGGTTTTCGCCAGTGAGAAATTGTCCGCGATCAAAAAAGGTTGGGAAACACTGTTGTAACGTAACAGTGATTGTGATAAAAATAATAAATTCATCAAACTAGTAAAACCATATACCAGTACTTTTAGTGTAGTCTTGAAAAACATGACTGTGCAAACTTGTAAAATAATATACCGGTTACTTTTAGTATAGTCTTGATTCTTAAAAACCATGACTGTGCATGTGCTTGGATGATTCAAAATATCAAAGACATGAGAGTCACACAATCTTATGAAAAGTCATGCATTGAATCAGCATTTTCATAGTAATAGCATAGCACGACTGCCATAATCAATAGCACTAAAAAATTTTGTTTTTTGTTATTGTACATTAAGTGCATTGTGATATCTGCATAACAAAACAATGAGTAACAAAAAATCAATGCGTCTGTCTAGCCTTTGCAAAACAATAAAAAGAATCTAATAACAATGCCAGCAGCTAAATCTATGTAAACCTTAAGATAATCCACATTCATTACATGAAGGCTAAAGACAAGATAGGTACAAAGTTGAAAACCGTAGGAAAAGTTGAACCAAAAATATGCATGGATATCATATAACTATATAAAACAGTTAGTAACTTCAGAACGAGAAAAGCCCAAACCAAATAATCTGCTTTTCTGACTATGGTACATTCTAAAATAATATTTCTGAATATAGAATATTGAAGATATTTTTCAAAATGAGTTGTTTGAGGATAGCCATTGAGATATCTAACATCAAGTTGTTCTATGACCAACGGCAGGGCTCTTCAGATATTCAAGCATGGTTGTAAACATTGCCTTGATTTCGCTGTTTTGCGTGTTATTTGTCAGGTTTCTGTTGTGTTTTCGATAATTAGTTGTAAACCAATTAATTTTAATGTCTTTATGCCACCGAGGAGCTTTAGTTTGGTTGCAATGATCAAAAATGAGTCCCAAAAAATCTGCGATACTCTAGGTAAAAATTAGCTATCCTGTAAGGGGCACTTGGTTGAATATTTTAGTGAAACGAATGGTTTCGAAAATGTAAACAGTTTGTGAGCGCCAACTCTTCAAACCATCCTCAAAATAAGTATCAAAAGTTTTGCAATAGTAAAGTATAGGGTGAATTTTTCAAAGGTCAAAGGTCTGGGAAACATCCATTGACATCGCAGGTTACACATCTCGGTTTCTAACGCCCTGTGCACCAACATCCATGTTGTGATAAATTGGATAGGAAATGCCAATCAGAAAGATTCTGGAACTTATCAGTGATATCAGAGGGGTGCTTATACAAGACCTTAGTCGGAGCGAAATATGTGAATAAATGTTATATCAAAATATCTTACTTGTTGGAGCACTAATCCATCCCCTTTTCTCTAATTTATTTCGTTTAAATCTTCCGTGCCTCTTGGCTGGTATTGGTGGTTTGAGTTGGGCAGCTTCATGGATGGCAATTTTTAATTCTCTCTCTACGATTCCAACCTCTCGTTCTTGTAATTCTCTTTGCTTTTTACTTAAATACTCAGCCTGTAGTTTGTGTTGAACTGCAGCTCGAGTGAGTTCTTCCTCTCTTGACCGTAATTCCTGAAACAAAAATGTGTTAGTTTAGAATAGAGTAAATGATGTCTGGTAAAAATCACAAGAAATTGATGAAACATGCTCATATTTTCAGCAATTCTTGAAGTGAACAGAAAGTAAACATAATAAATTTGTAATTACCGGTGAGCATTATTCAATGTACCTTCAGAAAATGATTTTTGAAACTTAAGATTTTTTGTTGTTGTGATGTAAATAAGATTTCCAAGTAAGGAAACTAGCCACTGAGTACCGGTAATTTAGTAGTATTATAGAAAATATTTTTTGTATTCAATATGAATTTAAATATTTTAGCTAAATGCAGTGCCCCCAAATCACTATGCATGCCTAATTTTTTTTTTTTTTAAAAAATCATTTTGCTGGTAAGAGGATATAATTTCACGAAGAGGTAAGATTTGAGATTTCACCAATTTTTAGACACATTCATTGTGCTAATCAGACCATATTTATCATACAGAACTGCTATGAAGAAATGAACTATTCATTTGGTAACGTTCAGTATTGGCACTAGTTAATCTATCCTAACTCTTATAAGGTTTCTAGGAGATTATGCTTGGACCATTTCAGATCAACTATTTAAATTGAATCACAAATTGCCCAATTTCATTAATAAAAGTAAGACTTTTACGCCATGCCCAGGCGTGTACTGATATTAGGTATTAAATCACTTTTCATGAAAGATAATGCAAACAATAAACTTTGGGATGGTTTTTTGAGCAAACAAATCGGGTCTTTTACTACCAGCTACTAATACAGTGTGAAATACTACCTCGTCGCCGGTTGCCTAAATCTATAAAGGTTTTTTCAGACATCGCTACCACTTGATCAATTCTCAACAGTTGCGTAACAAAGCACCAATGGAGAGCATGTCTCGATTGTCTGAGACACTGGGGTGATTTCCCATCAAAGGAAACAGTGAAAAGTGACAAAACTTTCGTCATTATAAAAGATTTTACTGTCATGGGCTAGTAACAAAAGTGCAAGATAAATGAAATAAAATCATTTTTCAAATCTACCGCAAAGAGGAAACCAATGACAACTGGAGAAATTCAATAAAATGACTTTCAACTAAACTTGAAAATATGAATTAACTAAAAAAGTGCGAAATACAGTGTGTTCATAAAGTCCTTTTACAAACAAAATTTTGTTAGTTCACAATATATCTTAATTGGATTTTTATTTTTTTTTTTCAGTGTTTGTTTGCATTTCTGTACTTTATTTAATACAAATTTGCAAGCTCACCATCAGTTGCAAGAATCGTGTCAAAATTCTTTTACCTAATCAAGTACACCACTTCATGTACATGGTAGCAAATTTCATACATTTCATTCATTCATTTCGATTTTAAGTTACAATATCACACATCTATACCAATGTGTAGTTCAACTGCCACAACGAAGCTTGATAAAAAAAAGTACACACAAATGTAAACTCCCTCCCTTATCAATGGGGTTGCAGTTCAATGAAAAACACCAAAATAAAGAAAGATTGAATAATAATGCAATGGTTACAAAAGGAGGACTAGAAGATTTTACATAGCCACAATAAAAATATCAACTCAATTCAAACGCAAGTTCACAACCCTATGGCATCAAGCATAGAGCTGATTAAGAAGACTGCCTTCTAGTGAAAAAATAATCATATAATTGGAATGGAATAAATTTATTCAACTCTCTGGGGAGATTAATTTGGAATATAGCAAATAGGTTTTCTCCACTGCAATCTATTTCCCAAAAAATGAAAGGGGTAAATTCGATTATTATACTTTGTTCATAAGTACATGAGCAATAAATTATTTGTGGGCATGATGGCCTGCCTAATGATAAAAGCCTCCTTAACTACGGTATGTTGGCATTGGCATCACAGTTCAAAAAGCTAAAAGTCCAAATCCCATGTCCACCATCTCATCCTGAGTGTAATAGATTGTATAGGCGATGCCAAACCAGAAAGCCAGTATTTCTAATATATGGCAGCACTCTGCAGAGCCTTATTCAGAGTAAAAAACTTATGCCATATTCCAAAAAGAATTGTATTTTGCTACAAAACTAGTTTTACGATTGTTCAATGATACTGATATTCCCATTTTCCAGCGCTTGATGAATTCATTTCTATGTATATCTTAATTATAATTAAAATAAAGTTCATTTAATGCAAGTCATAATAATTATTAAGTAATATCATATAGACGCGAATACTCCACTTAAATGGCAATGATGCAATACCAGCAAAAAAATAAAGCAGAACTAGGTCATGGTTCTAATAATAACCAGCCACAGCTCACAGGTTCAATTGGATTATACTATGAGTGGGTGGAAATTGCAGAAGTCACAAAAATAATTCCCGAGTATAGTCCAGGAGTGCCCTGTTAAACAAACGCATCTGTACTGTATAGAATGATTTTTTTAAATAATTTTCAGTTTTTAATAAAATTTACAAATTCATTGTAAATTGGTTGAATTCAAATAGCCAAAGAGTAATTTGCTTTGGCTATATGGATTTTTTTGTGTTCCATTCTGAACAGTCCTAGTTATTAACCACTTAATTTTAAGAGAGTTTAATGAACTGATAAATGCCAATCTTAGAATACTGCGTCCACCAAGATAACATTGAAACTTACAGCGCAACGAATGATTGTAGGCTTGAGTAAGCACCATATATAGCCTAATGACCAAGTTAGGAATCACCTATATTTACAAGATCAAATTATCAATCTATTATTCAAGTATAGTATTAAAAGTCTTCATCATCAAAAATTTAAAATGACAGTTACCACCCATGAGATTTGTGAGAATGAGTAAAAAAGAGTAAACAAGGTACTATTATTTTCATGCCATCTCAGCACAATCGATATGACAATGCACAAATAATCCCCAGTGATGGGATATTGACACAATTATGAAGAGGTTAAACACACAAAACTTGCACCAATGGTGCACCATATGGTACCAATACCATATTTATGTCACAATTAACATGAGCATAAAAAGGACCTGCTATGCTGCTTTAATCAAAATTGTATCACTTAAGTTAGACTAAAAAGACTTCTTAAATTGATTTAATACTAAGCAAACCATGGTTGTGCAAATATATATAAATTCCCCATGTCAAATTGAAAAAAGATAGGTCTCAATAGGTATAAATTTAAATTTTATATATCATAGCAGAAACGTCACATAACCATAGAAAAAGGGCCATTATTTTGTTAAATTCTTCACACTTTCTCCAGCATTATAAATATATATATATAACGCAACATAGAAGAAATATAAGTGGTTAGTCTGGCAGAAACCATAACGATAGTACAAGTATAAATTAAGAAATAACAATTTCCGTTTAATCACCTTCTCTTTTGCTCTTAGTTCATCAAACATTGCTTGAATTTCTTCTCTCCAATCATCCTGCATACATTGGAATGAATCTGTTGGCACAGTGATAAACTCAGATTCTGCAATTGTTTCAAGGTCGGTGAGAATTGTACGAAACGAAGGACGTTCATGTGAATTCGAATTCCAGCACCCTGCATTAAATTTGGGAATCGTAAAACACCAGATATACAAATAGCAAATATAAATACAATATTTAAACATCTCACAATATTTTGAAAGATTTCATACTCATTTGATGAAAAGTGACTGCCCTGGAAATAACCTTTGAATTCATGCCGTTCGGTATAAATTTACAGTTTGAAAAAATGAAAAATTGGATAATTAGAATTTTTAGTACCATTGGTGAAACTGTCAAATTGGGCATTTGAATGAATTACAGGCCAGCTTCTATATAAAAAAGATCTTAGAAACCAGTAATATATTACTTATATGACTGATAGGCATGTGGTGCTATAGATTTTTATTTGACGTGAAGCCCTCAACTTACTCTCTAGTAATTCCTTAAATGGTTGCGGGCAAGTAGATGGGACAGGCAATGTTAATTTGTTTACTGCTACGCCATAGGCCACAGCGAGACCATCTATTCCTTTATATGGTTGCTCTCCCGTCAATAATTCCCAAAGAAGAACGCCGTAGCTAAAAATCAATGAATGTACGATTAGGCCACATAGAAAATTCCCATTGAATAAAAACAAGGCACAAAAGTGGTGACTAATTTAATCTAATAGATGACGATGAATGAGAGGGTGTGGTGTCTAGAAAATCACAAACGTTGCATATTTATTTTGCCGCTCATTATCAAGAACACAATTTATTTTATATTCACTCGATTTTTAAATAAAATTCAAAATTACGGAGAATAGTCTGCCTTGCTGAAAATTTAGTATTCACAATTCCCATATTTCCATACGTATGTAATTCATTCTGACATATTATTACAAAGAAGTCATCCACATTGCTGAATCTCAACAACACAGCAGCAATGCTCGAATATATGGACACAAGTTTTAGATGTACCCCATGGCTACTGTAATGACAGCAAAATTCAGGCCAAAATAAAAGAATTGTATCGAATATTATCAATTGCAAGTACGCATGTCATATAAAAGTGAGGCCACAGCTGTAATAAGACCAAAATGATATTTGAAACAAGAAAACTAATTTTTGATAAAAGCATAACAATAAACTGGATTACAAACCTCCAAACATCACTAGCTTTAGAAAATGTTGAAGATTTAATAACTTCTGGAGCCATCCATGCATAGGTTCCTGCTGCACTCATTTTGGTTGTTTTGTACATTTCCCTGGCAAGACCAAAGTCCGTAATCTTCATTGTTTTGTTCGATAAATCATCATTTGGCAAAATTTGCTCTTTGATAAGAACTGAATAAAAATGAATAAAGTTAAATCAAGATCATACAGCTTAGAACAATTTAAATTTTTGAATAATAATTGTAATAGAATGTCATTCACATATTTTAAAAAATATGTTTTTTCAGATAATAGCAATTATGAATGTTTTATGAACCAAATTAGCCATCAGATCATGACATAAAAAATATTGAGTATTTCAGACCTGTCGCTGACACTCGTTGTTTATGAGTGGTAAATTATTATTATTCACACACCAATTCTGAGGTGCAAATAACACAGACATCAGTATGCAAATTTGACAGATCCGCACAGAAATTTGCCGAGCAGAAGAACTCCTCAAAAATGAGAATGAGAACTTTTCATGATGCAAACAATTTTTCCCAGACAGGTCGTGTATAGACAGTAATAATACATCCCGAAAACTTTATTCACTATTGTATTTTACATTACTTTCACAAAAATATATTCAGGAACTAACAAACCAAAACATGCTTTATTTAAATATTTTTTTATCGAAGTACTGGTATTATTTTGATCAGATATACAAAATGATCACAATAAAACACTATAAAATTTTGACACTAGTCAGAACCAATTTAAGTGGACTCTAATAAAATTCCAAACTATAATTGGCTAAATATGAGAAATACAAATTTCAGGTTCAAGTGCCAGTGTGCCACACATATAGTAGCCAAAACTCAGTGACTAAACTTAGCAATGAAATACTAGACGTCACAAGCATGGTGCTGTTAAATATTATTTCGGTTCATCATGGTTTACCGATCTACACAGTGAGCCAGACGATCGGTAAACAGCAAATAAATAATGCAGGTTACCATGCCAATAAGACTGCAGTTCTAATTTATATCACGGCCCATAATGTATATAATAATGAGTGAGACAAGTTTTATAAGTTACATTAAAATGATGCAAAAATGCTGCAAAATCACTCCATTGTACTTAAATTGAAACATTTTGTAAAATATATTTTTAAATTTAGAAGCATATGCTAATAATGATATTTGTCACTTATTCTTTGAAAATAGGCGATTAGGTACAATATAACTCCAGTTTACCAGTCATGGTTAGTTTCTTCTTGAAATATTATTTTTAGCCTTGCTCTAATTCGTTGATAAAGTGAAATTTATAAACATTTATACTAAGACCATTAGAAATGCAAGAGAGATGCAAATTATGATACTATGTTAACTATGTCAATTTGATTTGAATTAATGATGACTCAAACTGAAGTACATCTGTTAATCAGCTTAAGTCATTTATCATATAAAATCTAAATTTCCAAGAATGAATCTCCTTGTCATGGAACTTGGACCCCAATTTCATGAAAACTGAAATCGGTATCACTAAATTGAAGGATTTGCAAACCAGGTGATCAGCATGTGATGATATTTTATGTTGATGCACTTCTTTCAATTTTATTTGATAACAAGAGCAGTGAATATTAAAAGAGTAACTGTTAAAACACCATAATATATAAAACAAAAACAAAGGCATCAAATTCTTTACTTACCGTTACTCGACTTCAGATCTCTATGAATGATGTGAGTGTCCGCTTCATTGTGCAAATAGTTCATTCCAACAGCGATTTGTAGAGCCCAATCAACTAAAATTTGTGGAGGGAGTTTCCGACGAGTTAAAAATCTATTGATTGCGCCACCTTGTGCATATTCCAATACAATACAAAGATTAGGTTGCTTCAAACAAACACCTTCCAAAGAAATGATATTTGTATGAGATAAGAGTGAGAATAAGCGAGCCTCTTTAACAACATTTTTGATAGTACTTTTGATATCCTCATCAGGATCTACTTTTGCAGCTTTTATCGCAACTTCTTTGTTGCCCCAAAATCCATGATAAACTTTTCCGAAACCACCAACGCCAATGATTTCATTTAATTGAAGATCCTGAAAATCTATCCTTTTTAAAAGTGATTCTTCGGGTGAAAATATTTCTTCTGTACTTATATCCATTGGTTCGCAAGGAGAATCGTCCTCATCTAGTTTTTTATAAACATTTTTTTGCTGCTTGATATTGGTCACATTTGGACTAACGTAGTTACTTGGAAATATTCCAACTTTGTCTGCAACTTTGCCAGTCCACCATCCTTCATCACCCGACACCCCTGCATCTTTGGATAAAACTTCCACAGTTTCACCATACTGCAATGATAGTTCATCATCTGCATTAGCATCATAGCTATACATAGCAATCCAACATGGGTTAGTATAATCAAAATTGCCATGTTGCCATTGATCAGCATTGTTGGGCTGCTGTAGAAGCATCATACCAGGATTCATTGCCATATTCACTTGTCCTTGATGAGCATTATATTGGGCATCATGATTCATATTAGGCGCAATAACTGGTCGAACATTTGGCATGGCCGGGTTGAAAACAAAGCCTTGATTGTTAGCATGCATGCTGATATTATTCTTGAATCCACTAACTTATTTCCACAACTTTTCAGTCATTAGCTGACAGTATTCCACTCAAATCTTGAACATGATGTTGAATTAAAGTATATATGTCAATTCCACACTGATTCCAGTAGTGGATGACAGAATCGGCTGCGCAATTACCCTTTCTAGACCATTTTGTTACACATTTCTGGAAATATTAAAAAAGGGCATCAAAATTTATAAGAGAATTATTTTATACTGAGCAAAATGCAACAAAAATATTGTTCCAAACTTTTTCGATGAATTCCACCCTTTACCTATTTTAGATCTCTCTATTCCTTCCTCCCTCACCACGTATACATATTTGATTTTTTAGCTAGTGCTTCGCACAACTCACACTCTGACTTTTGCACAGTTTGAATAAATGTTAAGAGTTTAATACATATGACTAACAATAGGGAAATAGAAAGAAGTTGACTAATAAATAATGGTCAGTACGGAGTGTTACATCAGAGTCAGAGAAAGGAAATTTACTTCACATGTAGGCCTACTGTGCACCATTCTGTCGGAAAAATATAGTCATGCTTATGAGACAAGCTCATGAAAAAACATTACTTCATGCAGACTACAAATGCAAATAAAATTTGTAGGCTAAAAGCAGTTCTTAAATAGTTCTTGAGGTTTTTAAGTGCTGGTTTGAAATATATTGTTATAAATGATATATGAAAACATATTGTATCATAATTTCAAAATTAAAACAACAAGAGTATAAATTGATAGAAGTGAGCTATGTTTAAGTATTTTGAAAGCAGGAACAATTACAATATAAATTATTATATATCAATCTAATCTTTCGATAAATTTTAAACATAACATAGCAGTGACAGAAAAAAATCATTGAATTGGGTGGTCTAGAAAATTGTGCGCCGGATGGATTTCAGTACCTTTAAAAATAGAAAGCCTTGTTTTGAGTGAAGATGTGAAAATGATTCATGGAAAGATAAACCAATTCTAAATAAACATCATATGCTATTATATCCAGAGACTGGGAACTGATTAAAAATAACAATGGCTCCAGCTCTACAGCCACAGTATAATTATTACCCAGTGGCTCCAGCTCCGGCGCACTATTTTTCAGCCAGAAGTCAGGCTCCCGCTCTGGTTCTGGCTCCATACCATCAAAATTTTTTGGGAATACCACTATAATGAAACATCAACCCAAGTTGTGAAATCTATCTTCAAAGTTTTAAAATTAATAAATTGGATGTATAAGCAGCTGAGAAGGATAGATTTTATTATTTATATAGCGTATTACAAAATTATGAATGTGGAAAAACAAGTAGATGGTTAGGAGCTGGAGCCACTAAAATTTCTGGCAGCTTCAACTCCAGCTCTATCTATTATCGTAAGCTTGATTCCAGCTTCTGATCCAGATACACTAAAATGTCACGACTCCAGGGCTCCAAGCTCCGACTCCCAACTCCCCAGACAAAGTTGAATCTTGGTGAATATTTTGTTCAAACACATGAATCAATGAATATGTGTACAAAATCATGATATAAATTATTCTGAAAATTTAAACTAATAGTCTCGCTTGATCAACTACAATAAAACATTTCAAGATGCTTATAAAGTCTGAAAGTATTTACTGTCATCTCGCTGCTAATAATAATATTAAATATATCGTATGGCTTATGCCATTTTATTAATTTTTCATTACTCTGATTACTAATATTTCAATATTTCCAAAAAACAGCTAGACTAGTCTATTTCAGAAAGACTTTTCTTCACATGATTTGATATAAAAACTGCAAAAACATAAAAAAATGATCAATCAAAGACAAAACTTATTTGACCAATGTATAATTGACACTGAAACACTGAACTGCGCGGTAAATGTTTAAGGAAGTAAATGCCATAACTGTTATAACGCCAAACAAATATGTTATGTGAAACTACTGCCGCTTGAATAACGCCTAACAGAAACGAGATGTGAAATTTTTTTGACTCAGAAAAAAATTTGCATGTCGCGGAACGAAACTCTTGTTCAGTTAAAATCAAACACACTCAATCTTAAATTTGTAAATTAAGCAGGTATGTCTCGTGCCAAATATTGTAAAGCGTTCCGCATGAGACTGACTTATATTTGAAAAAATGAAAATTTGGGCAATATTTTTACATAACATTTTGATTCGGCGTTATTCAAGCACTCATGAGGTCTAGTATAGTTTAGTACCACAAGCAGGCCTACTTTCAGTGGACGTAGCATAACAAATGTTATTCCTAGCCCCCATCTGCAGACCTGGCTACTGGGCTATGCCCTGAAAAAAAATTTTAATGTTGGCATAGGCTACTCCGACATTATGGTATGGTATACATGCCTAATTTAACTTTATTGTTCAATGTCAGAGATAAAATTATCCGGTGCCGATACGGTGGTAACGTTACGGTAACGTTTCCTGTGTTTTTTCATTGTGCAAAATTTCAAATTCAAATAGAATTTTATTCTTGAGCTTTGGATTTCTTCCCCAAATTTTCACTATAGGCTATCTTTTTTTTTAATTGGTTCACTCAATGAATGATTTTAATAAATATGCGAAAAATAAATAAATGTACAAAATAAGATAAAGTCCATACTCCATTCAGCCATTTCGCATTCATAATCCATTTGTTAAATTGAGTTTCATGGTTTTTCCAGTTTGTTTCAGCAGACAGCAGTGATAACCATCCATGATAATGAAGTTATTTTAATAATTACAATAATATAATACAATAAAAAAAAATTCTCTCTATATATTAATTAAGCATTCCTAACACACCGACAAAGAACTAGACCTTCGAGAAACAACTGGAAAGGCGTAAATTAAGGAAGGCAGACAACCTCAGAATCTTACAAAAATAAAACAAAACGAAGACAAACAACGTCTGACCTATTTCACCACTGGAGGGTAGTCAAGTAAAATTTTCAAACAAATTTACCGCAATCTCGGGACGTTTTTGCTAAATTGTATAGATATTTCCATCAAAATCCTTGTTCTTATCAGTGACAATGGTTAATCAGCAATAACTCAATGGCGGAGTAACAATTTGAACATTGACATTGAGTTAGGCATTCTTTACGCTAGGACAGATTTTCAAGAATGGTTGTAAACATCGAATCGTTTTTCCATTTTTAAGCTGTTAGTCAGTTTTTAGTTGGGTTGTCAATATGTTATGCGCAAATAAAAATAAAATAAATTTGTCTCAAGTTTGTCTCTGAGAAAATTTTAGTTTAATTAGGACAATGCATCGGGCAATTTGTCATTTGACTCCAACTATAATCAGTGTGACGACCCTTGTTTTATCTGTAGTAGTATATATTTACGGTTAAAAGATGTCATGTGAAATTGTTTCCATATTTTGTAATTTGGCCTTGAAGACATTGGACGCGTTGTGACACTGTCGGTTTGTTTTCGGGGTGTGGCTGTTGGCGTGTGCTGTGGATGGTACCGGTACAGTGTGGTTGGTTTTCGGTTGGATTCTGGTCATGGGTGTCTGTGGGAGTGCCTCTGGTCTTCGGTGGGTTATCAGGAATGTTTGTTTGTGGTTTTGTGACTGTGGGATGCGGATTTGTTGGTACTTTTCGCTTTATGCTTGTCGTTTGGTGCTCCCGAAGTATGCGAACCAAGATGGCGGACATCGGAACGTAACATGGGTAACAGGTTAGGGTTAGGCGATAATTTCTTTCCAATTTTTCTTATTTTATTCCTATTATCAGTTCGAAGACTAGCCAAGAGCTTCCCGTAGTATTTATACCTAAAATTATGGCCTAACCCTAACCTAGTAGGCTACACATATTACATTCCGATGTCCGCCATCTTGGTTCGCATACTTCGGGAGCCCCTGTCGTTTTGTCTGGAGTACGTTGAGATTGTTAATGTATAAATAAAATAGTAAAAATTGGAGTGAATATTGAGCGGAAACTTGACGACAGATCATATTGGAAGATATTCAGAACCTGGATAATTATTACATTAAGACTGTCGGCACGCTATAAAATTTGGCGAGCACGCCAGGATCTCTTCTAAACATATAATAGGTCACGCAGAAATAGAAAGAACACTCCCAACCAGTCTTTGAACTCGGAACGGCATGAATAAGGTGCTCACTCCCTGCTAACATGATTTTAGTTGATGATATGGACCCACTTCTCTCGACTTTAATTTCTTCTCTTACGTGGCCTAATGAATGGCATGTCAAGGCTTTGGTCAATAACGTGCCTGTTTTGTTTTTGATTGATACCGGTGCGGTTGTCGCTCATTGACACCGCTGTTTGCTCGATGTTGCAGAAAGATTCGGACATCCAGAACTGCATTTTTCCAGTACCACTGCGTACTGCCAGTGGCGAGTCATTAGTGTCTCATGGTGCACTTGATGTCAACTTGACGATTGAAAGCTGGTCTGCGGAGCATACCGTTGTTGTCGCAGATCTAGGGTTACGGATGGGCATTCTAGGTATGGACTATCTTGGCAAATGGGACTGTGTTCTGTATCCCTCGTCGGGTCGTTTTGTTCTTACGGGACAGGATGTTAATGTGCAGCACTAGGCGTCGGTTTCCTGCTGTCGTGTGACTGTAGAGGAGGATGTGCTTATACCGGCCCGCTCGGGAGTTGTTGTACTCTTTCAGCTACAGCAGCCTTGAGCGTCCGGAGACCTGACATAGAAGCCGTTATTGAGCCAGTGGAGATGTGCAGCATCAATTTGGTCTCTTCGATGACGTTGTTGGACCCAATCCAGATGGACAAACATTACGGATGTCCAAGCGTGAGCATGGACACCCTGCATATTTTGAAGACTTTGTGGAAATATTTTGTTTTGACTACTGCCTCTATTGTTGTTCAAAATTTTCTAACGAAGATGAAAACATTCTTTTATAATGTTCCATCTAGAAGAGGGGGGTAATGTGAAGACCCTTGTTTTATCTGTTAAATGATGTCATGTGATATTGTTCCCATATTTGGTATTTTGGTATTGAAGACACTGGGGGCGTTGTGACACTGTCGGTTTTTTTTCGAGGTGTGGCTGTTGGCGTGTGCAGTGGATGGTACCGGCACAGTGTGGTTGGATTCTGGTCGTGGGTGTCTGTGGGAGTGCCTCTGGTTTCCGGTGGGTTATCAGGGATGTTTGTTTGTGGTTTTTTGACTGCGGGATGGGGATTTGTTGGATGTTTTCATGCTAGACAGTAGGCTGTTATTATTGTTTCAGTACAGTGCCATTGCAGTTATTTTGGCGTTGTATTTTTGGTTGTTGTCAGAGAATTAGCTATCATCAGTACTGTTCAAAGTGTTTTTATTGTGTATATTCTGTTTTCTTGCGGAAGACGGCTTAAAGAGACCCCTATTCAAATCGGAGATCTGGTATACCTTATAACAGATGGACGTAAAGCATGTTCGGGGGATCGTTATCTAGTAACCGCTGTTGACAACGATTGGTGCTCGGTACCTAAATTTGTTGGATCACAACTGAGACAAAATTCTTACAAAGTTAAACGAAGTGAATGCTACGAAGTTGCAAATGATTGGTATACAACGGAAAATGTCCAACCTAATTCAAGCGACGACGAAGAATCAGAAATAGAGCATTACATGCGTGGCCACGAACATCAACTTAAGAACAAACCTAAAATTATTCCCGATGAACCACCAAATCTCGTCCTTGCATCTTCGCATGTTATAACCGAAGAAATCAACAAACACAATGAATTGCAAGACGTAAATCCAAACCTACAGCCAGCAGTAGCAAAATCCCCCGGTCAAAATGAAAAACAATTTCCACTCCGAAGATCAACCAGAACAATAAAAAAAACGTCTCGTTTAAAAGATTTCATACCGAATCAAACCAGACTGCCAGTGTTCCCAGGGATAAAATAATACAGCGAAATCTTGGACGAAATATCAGATTTCATACGAAATTTATAAATAAAAAAAATAATAGCCTTCTAGAAAAAAAATCCATCTTCAAACACTGAAAATTTCAGAGCATTTGGTCCAGTATTCGAAGAGAAATGTCAAAGAATAAGAACAACAACACAAAATACCAAAAGTTTTGGTCGAAAAGATCATTGTGTCCACTAACATTTTGGTTCATATTTACAATTTCACTTGCTCAAAAACTGTTGGATTTCGCTTTATGAATATTAGGCTGCAAAAAGTTTCTGACCCCAAAAAATTTATTTTTGCCGTATAAAAAGTTACCCGCATTTGAAAAAACTCTTTCTGACGGGGCTGATGTTGTTGTTAGTCCCAAATAATCCTTGGTTAAAAAAGCGCCTGGTCGTATTGAAGGTGTAATTGAGCCAAAATTTTAGCAAGTTACAAATATATTTACAATTACACAGAATGAAAATGCCCCAATTACATGAAAAACTGTAATTACTTACATCAATTACAAATAACAATTGATCCAACTCTGGTACCCATACAGTTTTTGAGTCTGGGC